CTACAGTTGAGAGAGACTTGCAATACAGTTTTCTCAAAAAGCAGAGAAAAAGGATTGAGAAAGAACCAGTATATGCCTGGTCTGGCCAATGATCAATGATCTGTTCAACATTATGCTCAACGCTGCTGACGTCAAGATCTTATACATCTCATTCCCGAAACCAGCTTCTGCAGTCTTCCCAAGAACATAACCACGTCGACAAAACTCCTCTGGAGCTAGCTCACGAACTGATGCAGCCCCTGAACAATCCAATAAATCATTTTTTCATCACAACATGTTAAATTCAGATTTATCTTGAGCTTCCAAATTAAAACCAATTGGCTATAAATGGATCGGTCCTAACCATTTATATATTATTCATGCCCTACTTAAACTCCTAACGTAGGAGCTTATATTCTCCCACGCCCTCCCTAAATAATGATTCTTATAACCACTAAATCTCCTCCAGAGCTTATACAATAGCAACTCTGAGCTATTCGAATTCAAGATCTTGCTATCATTCGAACGAACACATAACAAAATCAAGATTCTAACATCAAGAAATCAAGAATCGAATATATTCTCACCGTTCACAAGAAAATGACGTCTGATAACATCACGAACTCTCAAGCTCTGATCCACGAAACCACCACCATCGAACTCGCTCCCCATCTCCTCAACCGTCGCGCAGAGCCTACCTCCATCGACCTTAGCTTCCACCACGGAGGAAGAATTGATCCATCTCGCGTTCTCCTCATCTGAAACACCCTCGCTGTCGTCGTCGTCATCGATGAAGGAGTTAGGATCATCCACGGAGCGTAGCGTCAACAGCAACAAACCGAAACCGATCAAGAAGATAACCGATGTGAAGAGAATCGTCCTCCCGAACAATCGCTTCCGTCTGATTCCAACGCGCTTCATCTCTTTCTACTTCTTCTTATTCTTCCACATCGTGTTTAACTCAAGCCACACTGTTCTGTCTCAATTAATACAAGAGCTTTTCGATCGACACGTCATAACTTGTCGGTGGCAGTTAACTCTTACTCGCAACGGCGTCGTATTGTATAATGGGCCTAGTCCGGCCCATTAATGGATATGAAAGCCTATTACGGTGGTTATCATCCACATCAATCACACAACGACCAAGATTGTTGTTGTTGTTGTTGTTGTTGTTGTTGTGTTGTTTCCAAGTTTTCTCTTCAACTGCTCAACTTCGCCGGCGGTTTTTAGGAGCAAGTCATTAGGTAGAACGGCGCCGTTTTTTATCTGCCTAACTCATCGCAACAATAGTCTCCTGCTCCTCTGTAATTTCCTCTTATATTCTTACTCTCCCGCTCGTTGTTTTTTTTTTTTTTTATTGTCGTATTTGCTTTCTGCTGAGATTGGTCTACGGTTTATCTCTCGGACATTAGGGTTTAGACTAGTTCACTTTCTAGTTCTGTCTGCTCGTACTTGAGAATTGTTTTTTCTCCTTGTGATTCTCTCCATTGAACTTTAAAGCATGTTCTTTTTTCTTCTTATAGTCTTCAAATTTTGAAAGTGATTATGCTTAAAGTTTGTGTCTTTTGTGTGTTTTCTATGTAGACTCGTGAAAGGCGCACTGGTTTTTTGGGAGCTGGTGGAGACAATGGGGAGTTCATTTAATGCTCAGATATTAGTTGAGAAGCTTTCTAAACTCAACAATTCTCAAGCTAGCATTGAGAGTATCCTTTCTTAAATTCGTAATCTGTTTTTTTTTTTTTTTTAAATTGTATTGGTTTCTGGTTTATCTACTTATCTTGGTTGTTGTGGTTAAGCTTTGTACTTTTATTGGTTTCTTATAGTTAAACGGGGTTCTGGTTTATCTACTAGTCTTGGTTGTGGTAAAGCTCTGTACTTTGATTGGTTTTCTCTAGCTAAATGATTATTTGGAAGATAATAACTTTGAGGAGTTAATCTATTACCATTTTTATGTGTCTTCGGTTTTTGTGTCTGATATGATATTGCGAAGTGTGGACTAATTTTCCCGCCTTTACGTTGTATACTATTATGGCGTGTCTATTCCTTGACAGTAGTATCCAGCTTTGTCACATTGGTGTATCTTTCACATGAACAAGGCCAAACATGTTGTGGAAACATGGGGCAGGCAGTTCCACTGTTCCCCGCGTGAGCAACGGTTGGCGTATTTGTACCTTGCCAATGATATCTTGCAGAATAGTAGGCGGAAAGGTTCGGAGTTTGTTGGTGAGTTCTGGAAAGTACTCCCCGATGCTCTTCGTGATGTCATTGAAAATGGTGATGACTTTGGAAGAAAAGCTGCACGTCGTCTGGTACGTCTAGAGTTTTAACTTTTGTCTAACCACTTTATCTGAATTTTATCTGTGTCTTAGCTTTTATTGAACATGAAAATGCTAATTGTTGAAATTATAAGTGCAATGCTAATTGTCATAATTATCTCTTCAAGGTTAATATATGGGAAGAAAGAAAGGTTTTTGGATCTCATGGACAAATTCTCAAAGAAGAGATTCTGGGAAAGCAGCCTGAAAATGGAGCCAGGAACGGAGCGCTCGTGCCACTTAAACTTGTAAGTCAATAAGTTTCTTATACAACCATTTGCATACCTCTTGAGTTCTTCTGTAAAAATTATCCACTGTCATGTGCTTTGGAGTTCTTCCAAAAGTTAGCAACATGATAAGCTCTACTATTTTATTTGCAACAGAAACAGGCAAATGGAACTCCGTTGGAGAGAGTAGTATCTGCTGTTGAAGCTCTTCATGGCGTTCAGATTGACGAGGATATCATTGTTGGGAAATGTACTAATGCTGCTGGTTACCTTGAGAGAGCAACGCAGGAGGTTGAGAAAGATCTTAGTTCAGGTATCACCGTCCACTGGCTGCTACTTTGCTGCAGATGTTTCGATATGTTTTATTTATCAAGTGACAAGCTACATACGTCGTCTGTTCTAAGAACTCAGCTAGTTTACTCTGCTTTGTTACAACGCACCCTTTGTAGTAGAACCGGAATCTTAAATGGTTTCCAAATAGCTTATCCCAAATCATTATTTTTGTATGGTGAATCTTATTTTTTAATAAGCCAGATCATTTAATTTTGAAAGAACATACTCACACGGTTAGGAAGATAATCCATAAATTTATAAGAATCCATAATATATTTATAAGTCTTACACAATTTGGTTAACTTCAATTCTGATTGGTGGGACTTTTTGGATAGAGAGAAAAGCCAATTTTTGTTCAAGCGTCCATCAACCATAAGAGTTCTTTTCAGTATCTTACTTGTTGAGTTTTGCTTTTAACAGGACACACCCCTGGCCCCGCTGTCGTAAAGGAGGTGCAGGGACAACATGCGATGCTGAGAGACTGCATAGAACAGCTTGGGGCAGTGGAGACATCAAGAACAAGTCTTATCTCTCATTTGAGAGAAGCTTTACAAGAACAGGTTTCTCATTTATACAGCTACTAACGAAAATATCATCTTTGGTTGCTCCTGCCAAAGACCTCATCTTGCTTTTTTTGTGTGCAGGAAGTCAAGCTGGAGCAAGTCCGTAACCATCTTCAGGTTTGAATTCGTACTAATAAACTTGATATTGCTTTTCACTCGTTCTATACATTTCAATTCTCACAACTTCATCAACAGTACTTTCTGAGACACAAGGATCTAGCTTTAGAGCTACATTTGTTTGCTTTGGCTCAGGGCAGATAGATCCAAATCAGAATAGGGGTCCTCTTACTTGGTTTTAACAAACAAAATGTTGCCTTGTCTTTATGCTATTTTGCTAAATTGCTATTAATTCTGCTACAATTTCAGATTGCTCGGTTTCAATCAGACCGAACTGGTGATCTCTGCAAACAGCTTCTAGACCATGGTATTAGTTCACAACCACCTGCTACAGAAGAAGAAGCCATCAAAGTCTCACCGGCTGCATCAGCACCACAAAGCTTCACACACATCGATGTGGAACAATCTGCTCCAGTTATGTTTGCTTCGAACCCACCAACTCAACCAGTGGTAGTAGATCCAAGAAAAACCGCAGCCGCCGCAGTGGTAGCTAGGCTAACCGCATCAACCTCCTCAGCCGAGATGCTCTCTCACGTTCTCTCCTCATTAGCCTCCGAAGGCATCATCGGAAACAACCCACCTGCTGTAACAGGAGCTCCATCATCCGAAGAGTACCAGCCAGAGAAAAGGCCCAAGCTTCAGAACCATGACCAGTCCTATCTCCAGCTGCAACAACAAAACTCTGCAACAACATCAACAGTCACCACCAGTCCTCTACTGCCGCCACCACCACCATACCAGCTTCAACCTCAGTTCTTGCAGCCGTTACAGCCTCCTGGTCCTGTAAACCAGACACCATTCAACTACACCATAGTAACCACTTCAGCACCCACTCAACAACAACAACAAGGTCATTGGGTTCCTGAGCTCAGCCCACTTCCAACATCCTCTGCTCCATCAGATAATTCATACCACAAGTTTCAGGGACAAGATGGTTTCTATGGCATCAACTCATCCGTCTCTATGACACCTGTCACTCGGCAGTAGAAGAATCTGTGTTGTAGAATTTGCAGAGCAAAAAAAAAAGCTCACTCTTTTTTTTGTGTTGTTAAAGTATAGTTTTAATGGGCGTTTTATAGGATTTACGTTTTTGGAATGTGCTTTGTGTATGCTTTCTTCAAACACTGCGTAGTGCGTACCTCTAACTATATACTTCTGCACATATTGTCATTTTGTAGACTTTAAAGATAAAAACTCTCTCTGTTACTGTGAGATTCAATAGACTTTTTCATTGGTTGCTATGGTGTAGTTGAATGTTCTTTATGGTTTGTAGTTTGAAATTTGGAAGGTTCTTAAGATGGCGGTCATTACAAAAAGGTAAAAGCCAGATTGGACCAAAAGTTTACTCTTCTGTTCAAGTCTGGTCAAAACGCCGACAAGATTTTCCTTTTGACTAATAAAAGAACATACTTTTCCACAAAGTTCTTGTCTTTATCTTATTACTACTCGTCAGGGATTCCCTGTAACGCGGCAATCCTGAAGAAGAAATAGCACAAAAGCAGAGAGAGCAATACGACCAAAGACTTTGAAGGTAATGTCATAACCCTTTTAAGGGTTTTTCTCCTTACCTCTCGATCTTCCCAGTCTCAAGACGTAAACCCAGAAGATTTTGCTGCTTATTGAATCTTCCTAAGGTTTAGTGTCACTTTCTCCTTTTATCTTTCTCTTCATAGGATCTTGGTGTCTGATTAACTGTAATATTCTGATTGAGAGACTTGGGAGATTGATTTGAATGTTTAGTTCGAGTAACATTTCTGTGTTGTGAGTTTTAAGTTTAAAAGTTTTGATTTGATTTACGCATAGTTTGATTAAAGCTGGTCTTCTATTGTCCAAGTTGTTGATTTCGACATCCTTTAAGTTTGACAATCTGCTCATGTTATTACAGGGAAGGTTGTGGTATAACTTGAGGTCTCTTTTGGGTTGGATTGTTTCTTCTGAAATCATCTGAGAGTTTTGTTGGGAGGAAAGAGATAATCAAATGCCGGAGGAAGATTTGATAGAACTTAAATTCCGGTTATATGACGGTTCAGATGTTGGTCCGTTTCAGTACTCTCCAACCGCCACTGTAGCAATGCTCAAGGAGAGACTCGTCTCTGAATGGCCTAAAGGTTAGCTTAGAGGTCTTTAGTTCAAATTCTCTTGATGGCTTTAGACTTTGTGTCTGAGTTAGTTCTCGACGTTTGCTTCATCCATTGCTTAAGTTCCTTGAGTTTTGACTGGATAGAAAAGATCATTACAAAAGTGTAGGCTAGTAGTAATAGATCTGTCTGTGTTACTAATCCCTTGTCACATCTCGTTAGAGACTCTAGGAAGATTTACATCTTAAACTTTTTGGTTCATATTTGTACCTGTTGACTAACAAACTAATTTGGGGGGTTTTGAATGTGCTGTTTTCTAGACAAGAAGGTAGTTCCAAAAGCAGCTAGTGACATCAAGTTGATAAATGCTGGTAAGATTTTAGAGAATGGTAAAACTGTTGCACAGTGTAAAGCTCCATTTGATGATCTCCCTAAATCCGTCATTACAATGCACGTTGTTGTTCAACCCTCTCCAACAAAAACGAAACCAGGTCTTAGTTCTCTTGATTTCCTTATCTTTGTACATCTTGTTCCTGGAATGAATGCTTAAGAGTACTTCTTGAAAGATCCTAATATCATTGGGTTTTTTTTTGGGTATCTTTTTGCTCATTGCAGAGAAGAAAATCGAAGAGGAAGAATCTCCACAAAGAAGCTTTTGCTCATGTACCATAATGTGAGAGAATTAAGTCCCAAACCTAAATGAAAGAGAAGCCTTTAGAAGCATCTTTGAAGTCTTGTTTCATTGTGGTTTTTGGCTAGAGGACCCTTGCCATTTTTATGCTTCATATTCTCTATTCATCAAAAGTTCAAAGAAAGCTTCATCAATGGCGTTATAAGACTGGTCTAGTGAACTCTTTTTCTCTTGAATTGTGATGAAAATTCTTGTTTGGAGCAACTTAATATAAAGAGAAGAGTTGTTTTGTTTCCAACAATTGTATTGTAATATCTTCTCCACGAATTCGTTTTCTCTGCAACATATTTTGTTGTATTGTTCTTGTCATCTTTACACCTTATGACTTGTTCGTTTCTCCCTCAGTATCTGCCCAAACCTTGTGTCAACCAACCTTTATCCGGTCCAGCACTAACCAACAAACCGGTACAGACACTTTGATATGTAAAGATTATGGTCCATGCATAAGACATAAGTGGAATTACCTTTCTCTGCACTTTCTCCTTTACAGAGCCAATATTTGGGATTTAGATACCAAACTCCAAAAGAAACAAAGAGCATGAGGTCTCAATAAATGTCCACTCACCTAACTTCTCACTGTCTTTTCACTATCTTACCACTTAAAACATTTATAACCTTCACTTTCATTCAGTGTGTTTCCACTATCTTCTCTGCTTTTACATTCAATTCTTTTCCTCTCCTCTCATTTATAATCTTCACTCCATATGCGTTTCTCTTTGGACCCCTCTCCACTTTCTCTATACTCTCCCCAAAATCAATGCTAAGAGACACGTCTGCATAAAATCTCTGTATATAAAGGAATAAGTGAATATAACTGAAGCTTGAAGCTAGTTTAGTGGAGCTACCATCTCTTCTTGTCTGATTCTTTAGAAACACATCGTTCCATCCCCTTCCTTGCATCAACCACATAAACAAAACAAGCAAACTTGTTGTCAAGATGGGGAAGAGATTGATAATGTTTTTGTTTGCTCTTCTGCAACTTCTGTTAGTAGTAAACTCACTTTCTCCAAAACATTCACCGGCAAAGCCTAATGCAGAAGTAACTGTAATGGGTTTTGTTTACTGCGATGTCTGCTCCAACAACACTTTCTCCACACATAGTTACTTCATGTCCGGTAATTGATAAAAACAGTAAATTGACTAAAAATATCTCTTTTGATTCTCTTGCAAAAACTTTGTTTCTTACGTTTTCTTGACACAGGCGTGGAGGTGAGAATAGTCTGCAGATTCAAATCAGCTTCGTCGAGAACAAACGAGATGGTAACATTCTCTGCAAACAGAACAACTAACGAGTTCGGACTCTACAAGGTAGCCATAACTTCTCTAGATTGCGCTGACGTGGATAGTCTCGCCAGTTCTTGTCAAGTTAGTTTGCTTGGAAGAAGAAGAAGCTCCTCGGATCTTTCTTGCAACGTACCTGGTTACAGAACTACGACGGATCAAGTCGTGTTTAAGTCTAAACGGTCTAATCTATGTATCTATAGATTCAATGCCTTGAATTTCAGACCATTCAAGAGGGATCTTGCCTTGTGTGGCAAGAAATAGAGTTTCAAAACAACAAAACTATCTTTCACTGTTATTGTCTATGTTGCTTCTACTAAGAGATATTGTTTAGAAGCAATGAGAAGATATTGTTTTTATTTAATCAAAAAATCATCAAGCTTGGCTCATCTTATTTAAGCAACCAATTCCTTCTTCCAGATAGTCCTCTCTATTGATCCAGAACTCTGGTGCGTCCTGCAACATAAACCATTCAGCAACAATCATTTCACATACTACAGTTTCAGGGTTTTGTGTTGTGAAAGCATGTTTTTACCTTCATGATTCCAGCAAGAACAGCGCCTCCGAGGTATACCATGTGTTTCCTTCTAGGTGGATCCTCTATCCGCAATCTGAGTTTCTGATTTGACCCAAAGAAACAAAAGGATATGTTAAATAAACATAGCAATGACAGTGATCATGAACTTAACGGTATATTTTACCTTCAAGCCATCTTTGTTTCCTTTTAGAACTGTATCAAGATATCGATCCTGGATTTCTTTCTCGAGACTGAAACAAAGAGAAGACAGAACACATTAAAAGTCAGTCATCGAGCTTCTTGTTGGATTTTGAAAAACACACACACACAGAAGAAAAAGGAAGAGACAAACCGGCTAGGTAATCCTGGATACATGGTGCTTCCTCCGCTTAAGACTATGTGTTGATAGAGCTGTTAAATAAAAAGCAAAGTGTTTGAGAAAAATTACAATTAGTTGTTGAATCTTTCTTTTGGACTAAGAAGCAAGCTTGAGAGGCGCAAGTACCGTCATGCGGTTATCAATATCCATTTCTTGAATACAGCGGAAAACCATGTCTGCCATTCCATCGCCTTCAACATCAATGAGTTCCTGAAAAAAAGATTAAAAGAGAAATGATTATGTTCTGTGATCAGCCTCGAGAAAGAAAAATTGGCAAAGCTGAAGATTAAGGTATACCGGTGTGAAAAGCGCTTCAGGTGCTTGGAATCTTTCAGTGCCTACTTTGATGACTCTCCCATCTGGAAGCTGATCACAGAACAAAAACTCAACAGATTAGTTGTCCGGAGAGCAATTAACATAAGAAAGTTTCTGTTTCAGACAGGTTAATAGTTAATACTAGAATAGAGAACTTAACAGTATAATTCTTAACAAGGATGGTTGTCTCAAGACCAAGCTGATGCTCTCTCTTATAATCATAACTGCAAAGTCAAAACAAGTAGTTTAATTTCCAGCTCTTGAAATGCATTCCTACTCAGATATTGAGAGTAGAACTATGAAAAGGTCACATGCCCTATATAGCAGAGCTTCTCTTTAATTTCCCTAACAGTCTCAAAGTCAGCCGTTTTATTCATCGCATATCTGTTACACAAACAGTTTTTTTATTTAGCTTACATAAATACATCTCAAACATCATCAAAATGTTAATGAAGCTTCAACATTTGAATTTGTGAATCGGGTTTCTTACCCTCGTCGAGAAAGGAGATCCACAAGATAAGCTGTAATGTGTCTGCCAGCTACATTCATTCTTTTGGTAAGATGAGGGAACGAGTAACCATCAACCACCGGAACCTATGATGTGAGGTGAAGAAGGTTAAGTCTTTTATAAGCAAATCTCTATCTTAAAGTTAACGTTTTCATGTAGCATACCACATGAGTAACACCATCACCAGAATCAATAACCAAACCAGTTAGCAAACCTGAAACCAATAATTAAACAAAGAAAGATTGATATAAACGAACTGCGTATAAATTCTTTAGTACAGGTGTGACTATAGAAACACACGAAAGAAATTATAATAAAACCTTCAGTAATCTCCATAAGCACCTTGAGCATAAAGAGTCAAAACGGCTTGGATTTGAATGAAAACTCCCGCGAAATTGTACTTCTCAAACATTGTCTCAATCTGTTTCACAACTTGAAACAGTTACTTACTCCTCCAACAACAACCATCAATGCAACTGGCACCACCAGGACTTGACAAGTATCATACCATTTTTTCACGGTTCTTTGCAGGGTTAAGTGGTGGATCCGTAAGCAATATCTTACACTCTGATGGATTGATCTGTCAATAACAAAAGGGTTTTTTTAAGAGTCACTAAAACCAAACTGCCTGGAGAATGAGGTAATATTACTTTCAACTCGTTGTAGAAAGCATGATCCCAAACAAGTTCCATATCATCCCAATTCTGGATAATACCATTAGTGACAGGATAGTTTATATCCAATTGATGCCTTAGCTCAGCGCAAGTCTCCCCCACAACTATATCCTAAAATTGAAAACAAATGTTATGCAAGTGAAAGATCTCATTTTTATCATCAAAAATTCTTGTAAGAGGAAAAGGCCACCAAAACCTTGACTTGCTGCTCCATGAGTGCTTCTTCATACCGAAGCAACGGCCTTCCCACGACACATGGGAACACAGATGTTGGAAAATTCTCTCCAGCGAATCCACATTTCACATACTGAAAAAAACGCCAAGAAGCATCAGATATTAATTAGAGACTCTAAACGCAACAGATTTCGGTTTTAAGCTAAAAATAAAGATCATACATTCGCCAAAAAGTTTCAGTTTTTACAACGTTTCAGACAACAAGATTGTAAAAAAACCAAGTTAATGAGAAAAAAAGGTGAGATTTTTAGATGCAAGAGAATGTAATGTTTGATCAGATTCAAGTAAAGAGCTCGTGGGTATGAGTAATGAGGATATGGGCTCTACGGGAAAGGCCCATCAACAATTTAACAAGCCCATCTCAGCTTGTCATCTTCCAAGAGGGAATAAGACAAAACAGAGCAACGGCTCTGAAGGGGGTTCAACGGAGAGGAGCGTGACTCATAACAGATTTGATTCCTTATCTTCTCTGGTCAATGATGAGTCATAGACAGGCTGTNGAGAGGAGCGTGACTCATAACAGATTTGATTCCTTATCTTCTCTGGTCAATGATGAGTCATAGACAGGCTGTATTGTAGAGTAGAAAGCCCTAGAATCTTTGTGAGTAGTATAAAGCATCATGTATTGTCATCTTGTAAATCATCCGAGTTTTATAAAAGTATTATTCAGAAAACTTGTCTTTTGTTCATCTTTCTTTATGGTATCAGAGCCATTGTAAGCTCTAACAGGCGCAACAATGGCAGCTCCCCTGTACCCTCTTCCTAGTAACGTTCATGTCGTCAGCTGTGTCACGTTAAAGCTCACTGACAAGAACTATCTCCTGTGGAAGACTCAAGTTGAGTCACTCCTGTCCAGTCAGAAACTCATCGGATTTGTGAATGGAAGCATCCCCGCTCCTCCTCCTACTCGTCTGAATGAGAATGAAGTCGCTGTCCCTAACCCAGACTACGAGTCATGGGTTTGTTCCGATCAACTGGTCAGATCGTGGTTGTATGGCAGTCTCTCCGAAGAAGTCCTCGGCTCAGTTCACAGTCTTCAGACGTCAAGAGAAGTTTGGCTTGCTCTTGCAGAAAACTTCAACAAAAGCTCTCTGTCCAGGGAGTTTTCTCTCCGAAGAAGTCTTCAACTTTTGTCCAAAAAGAACAAGACCTTGCTTGACTACAGTCGTGAGTTCAAAGCCATTTGTGATGCTCTCAGTTCCATTGGAAAACCAATAGATGAATCCATGAAAATCTTTGGTTTTTTAAATGGCCTGAACCGTGACTATGACCCTATCACGACTGTTATCCAAAGCTCCCTCTCCAAGTTTCCTCAACCAACGTTTAATGATGTTGTCTCAGAGGTTCAAGCCTATGATGCAAAGCTGAAGTCATATGAGGATACAGCCACTGTTACTCCGCACATGGCCCTTCATGCTCAACAAACTGGTTACCCCACCCCTCAGTACAACCCTAACCTCCGTGGTCGTGGTCGTTTTCATCAGAACAGAGGACGTGGGGGCTACTCCAGCAGAGGCCGTGGCTTTCCTCAACATCAGTCAGCCTCAGGAGGTAACACCAACCGCCCTGTGTGTCAAATCTGTGGTCGCGTAGGACACACGGCTCCCAAGTGCTACAACCGCTATGACAATAACCCTCCGAACACTCAAGCCAATCACACATCTGTTCAAGTTGCTGACTCTTCAGGGAAGGATTGGTACCCGGACTCAGGAGCCTCTGCACATGTCACCTCTTCCACGGCGAATCTGCAAGACTCAGAAGCTTACCATGGTCAGGACACTGTGATGGTTGCAGACGGTACATACCTTCCTATATCTCATGTTGGATCGGTCGCTCTCTCTAATACCTCAGGTACTATCTCTCTTGACGATGTACTAGTCTGTCCCAAGATAACAAAGTCTCTTTTATCTGTGTCCAAGCTCTGTGATGACTATCCATGTGGGGTTTATTTTGATGCAACTAAAGTGTGTGTGATTGATCTAAAAACTCAGAGGGTAGTGTCCAAAGGTCCTCGTCGTAATGGTCTATATGTGTTGGAGAGTCAAGAGGTGGTTGCGCTCTACTCAAACCGACAGTGTACTGCAGATGAAGAAGTGTGGCACCAGAGGCTTGGGCATTCCAACTACAAGATTCTCCAACAACTCAAGAACAACAAGGATATTACAGTGAATAAGAGCAGAACCAACCCCGTTTGTGAGCCTTGTCAGATGGGAAAATCTTCTAAACTTCAGTTTTTTAGTTCAGATTCTCGTGTTTTGCATCCCCTAGATCGAATTCATTGTGATCTTTGGGGCCCTGCTCCAGTTGTATCAAATCAGGGATTCAAATACTATGTTATCTTTGTGGATGACTTCTCCAAATACACATGGTTTTATCCCCTTCAAGCCAAGTCTGAGTTCTTTCCCATCTTTAAAGTCTTTCAAACCATGGTGGAGAACCAGTTTAAATCTAAAATCAAAGTTTTTCAAAGCGACGGTGGTGGAGAGTTTATGAGTACAGCTTTGAAACAACATTTTGCTGAGACAGGAATTAAGCATCTCATTTCCTGCCCTTACACTCCCCAACAGAATGGTACGGCAGAGAGAAAACACAGACACATTGTTGAGCTTGGCCTCACCATGTTGTTTGACAGTCATGTTCCTGCTACTCATTGGGTTGAAGCGTTCTTTACGTCTGTTTACATTGGTAACAGACTACCAAGCTCTGTGCTTGAAGACAAGAGTCCGTTTGAAGTATTGGAAAAGAAAAAACCAGAATACTCTGCTTTGAGGGTGTTTGGTACTGCCTGCTATCCCTACCTTCGTGATCACTCCAACAACAAGTTTGATCCAAGAAGTCTTCAATGTGTCTTTCTTGGTTATCACAGTCAATACAAAGGCTACCGATGTCTTCACCCTCCAACTGGTAAAGTGTATATCAGTAGGCATGTGGTCTTTGATGAAACTCTATTCCCTTTTAAGCAGCAATATAAACACTTGATCCCTGAGTCTATGACTGCTTTGATGAAAGCTTGGCGACCTTCAACTCAGTCTGTGGTAACAGGTGATGAGCAACTCTCCAGGATTCTCCCGTTGCCGCATCACTCTCCTACTCCTGCAGCTCCTACAGTAGCTCAACCTCACAATGACCCTTCCCCAGCTGCTGCTGTCCCTCCACCTGTAGATAACACCCACAGAATGACTACTCGGTCTAAAGCCGGCATTCACAAACCGAATACCAGATATGTTCTCCTGGCATCAAAATTTTCAACACAAGAGCCTAAAAGCATTGCTGAAGCAATGGCTCATCCCGGTTGGAGAAACGCTGTGATGGAAGAAGTGGAAAGAGTTCACATGCTAAACACCTGGACGTTGGTTCCTCGCACTCCAGATATGAATGTTATTGGCTCTCAGTGGTTATACAAGACTAAGTTAAAGCCAAATGGAGACATTGACAAGCTTAAAGTGCGTCTAGTTGGGAAAGGTAATCATCAAGAGGAAGGGCTGGATTATCTTGAGACATTCAGCCCTGTGGTTAGGACTGCAACAATTAGAATTGTGCTGAATGTGGCGGTCACCAAAGGATGGAGTATAAAACAGCTTGATGTCTCCAACGCGTTCCTTCATGGGGATCTCAAGGAACCTGTGTATATGACTCAGCCTCAGGGGTTTATAGACAGAGACAAGCCTCACCATGTGTGTAAGCTTACTAAAGCTCTCTATGGTCTCAAACAAGCTCCACGTGCTTGGTTTGATACCTTTAGTAACTTCCTCATACACTATGGGTTTGTGTGCAACAAGTCTGATCCGTCCTTGTTCATCTACAAGAAGAATGGTAGAAGTATGGTACTGCTCCTGTATGTTGATGACATTCTCCTTACGGCTAATACTCCAAACCTGATGGAAGATCTTCTTCACAAGCTTAACTCAAGATTTCTGATGAAAGATCTTGGTTTTCCCAAGTACTTTCTTGGCATTGAAATTGAGCAAACCGCAGAAGGACTCTTTCTCCATCAGTCTGCATATGCGGATGATGTTCTCCACCAAGCAAGTATGAGCACCTGCAATCCTATGCCTACTCCACTTCCCACGAGTCCTGACACACTTGATGATGAAAAATTTCCTGAACCAACTTACTTCAGAAGCATCGCAGGAAAACTTCAGTACTTAACAATCTCAAGACCGGATCTGCAGTTTGCAGTGAACTTTGTGTGTCAACGGATGCATGCTCCTACCATGGGGGACTTTAGTCTGCTTAAACGTATACTGAGATATGTGAAAGGGACGATGAAGATGGGTATTCACATACGGAAGAAGTCTGATCTTGTTCTCACTGCCTACTGTGACAGTGATTGGTCGGGATGCAGAGAAACTAGACGCTCCACTACTGGTCTGTGCACTCTACTCGGACCTAACCTGTTATCTTGGTCTGCAAAACGTCAAGATAGCGTCTCTGGTTCCTCTACTGAAGCAGAATACAGAGCCCTCACCGAAGCTGCTAAAGAGATAATGTGGCTATCATATCTTCTTCGTGATCTGGAGGTTCATCAAAAGTGTCCGACTCTGCTGCAATGTGACAATCTCTCTGCCGTATACCTCAGCACAAATCCGGCTCTTCACAAAAGGTCAAAGCACTTTGAGAATGACTGGCATTACATACGTGAACAGGTTGCTCTGGGACACATAGAGACTCGTCATATCCCTGCAACACACCAACTTGCAGACCTGTTTACAAAACCTCTCCCGCGCAAAGTGTTTGAAGAACTGAGAGACAAACTTGGCGTTACCTTTCTGCCCACGCCAAGTTTGAGGGGGAATATGAGTAATGAGGATATGGGCTCTACGGGAAAGGCCCATCAACAATTTAACAAGCCCATCTCAGCTTGTCATCTTCCAAGAGGGAATAAGACAAAACAGAGCAACGGCTCTGAAGGGGGTTCAACGGAGAGGAGCGTGACTCATAACAGATTTGATTCCTTATCTTCTCTGGTCAATGATGAGTCATAGACAGGCTGTNGAGAGGAGCGTGACTCATAACAGATTTGATTCCTTATCTTCTCTGGTCAATGATGAGTCATAGACAGGCTGTATTGTAGAGTAGAAAGCCCTAGAATCTTTGTGAGTAGTATAAAGCATCATGTATTGTCATCTTGTAAATCATCCGAGTTTTATAAAAGTATTATTCAGAAAACTTGTCTTTTGTTCATCTTTCTTTAGTGGGATCAAAAGGGTCGGAGTAAACGGCAAGAGGATCACGAAAACAGAGTTAAGAGAAGAGAAGCATACGCCGGTGCCATTGTCGCAAACGACGACGTTTTTGTTGTCCATCTAATCTTCTTTCGATTTCAGAAGGATGACAACTTTGTCTTGGAATAGAAGTGAAGAATCACTTTTCTGTTCCACTTGTTCCGTTTTGGTTTCTGACTGGGTCAGTCAGTGCTCGCGATCGATCTTTCATACACTGTTTCCTCGTTTCTCTTTAAGCATGCGTTTCGTTTACTCTACGTAATAACGGAACAAATGCTGAAATGGGACAAAAGGACATCAAAAAATCTAAAATAGACCCTTCTTAATTTAATTTAATTTTGATTTTCTTTTTAAAAAAGAAACATAGGTAAAATATCCTTAAAACCTAAAACTTCTATTTATTTACAGACCCAACCACTAACTATCCAAACCCATTTACCAGATCCAACTAAATTCGGATCCCTAAGTCTCCAATTCATCTTCTTCTCCAACGCTACTTTCACCATTGTAATCTCCATTTTCTCATCACAATATCTCGAAAATCAAATGAAAATCAAATATTATTCATTTTATCATTCGTATACTATATCATTTTCATCCAAAAATCCCATTTTTGGATAAAAGAAAAAATCCAGATTTTAACATGTTTAGTTTATCAAAAAAATTATATCCTATAATCTAAATCAAATCAAAAAAATTCTCCAAATCTTACAAATTTCTGTTCTTATCGCAGATCGATCGATTTCTCATCATTCTCAATTCATTTTCTCTCATATAAAATTGAATCTCACTTTCAAAGTACAAAATTTCCGACAACGAAAAAGTATTACTGGTATAACTAGTACAACTGAAACTGGTACAACTAGTACAACTAAAACGTGTATAACTAGTATAACTAATATAATTAGAAAAACTAGAACGTATATAACTAGTATAGTTTTACAAGTAATATGGTTACATTAGGCTTTTGTTTGAGCTTTTAAATGATGTTGTAGAAGCAGATGATGTAGAATCAATGAAAATGTTGGTTTAATCTTTTCAAGCATGAATTTGTCAAAATATATTAAACCTTTTTATATAATATTTGGACTAGTGGTTTTACCAGTTGTATTACTAGTACAACTGAAGCAGATGATGAATAATCAATGAAAATGTTTACATGATTTGTCTGGTTACTATGTTTTGTTGTAGATGATATAGGACATGAGTGATGCCATATCGGTTGAGGAATCAACTAAGGAGAATTGTAAGTGCAAGAAAAAGCTTGAGAATGATGCAGTTGAAAATGAGGGGGCAGTTGGAAATGAGGAGGAGACAACTAGTAAAACTACTCATCTTAATATTCAACTATAATGATTAAAACATGATACACGTTAAAACATGATGCACAATACAAGAAGAAATAACATAGTTGCACTAGTATTATAGTTGTACTAGTTTGTACATAGTTGTACTAGTTTTTGAGTTATACCGATTTGTACATAGTTGTATTTCGGCAGTGAAATGAAAAAAACTAGCTGTACCACATAAAATTTAAACTTACTTCAGTTGTACCATTTCTTTATGTGTACATGCTTATGCCCTAATACAATGAAATCACCAGTTTTATTAAAATACATTTCATGTATGTTTTCCAAAAGTTATGTGGACAAAGAAGTTGACAACCTTAAAAATATAAGGTAGACTATGCAAACTTATATGATTGTGTTATAATTACTAAAAAAAAAAAAATATAGCTAATCTAATTAACAAACCTTTAAATATAAGGTATGTAATATAAAACTAATGTAACAATATAATAGTTGTAAGAGTTTTTGAGTTGTATCGGTTTGTACATAGTTGTACTAGTTTTTAAGTTGTACCAGTTTGTAAATAGTTGTACTAGTTTTTGAGTTATACCGGTTTGTACATAGTTGTACTTTGACAGTGAAATCAAAAACACTAGTTGTACCACATGAAATTTAAACTTACCTTAGTTGTACCACCTTTTTATGTGTATATATGTCTTCGCCCAATACCATGAGATCATCGATTTTGTTAAAATGCATTTCATATATGTTTTCCGAAAAATATGTGGACAAAGAAGTTAACAAACCTTAAAAGTATAAGGTATATCATATAAACTTATGGAGTTGTGTAATAATTTTCAATTTTTTTTTCAAAACTTCAAATATATTAGGAGAAAAGAATCTGACTACATACCACTTTGGATGTTTGATAGTGTTGTCATATGGAATACCAAATTGGCTTGCCAATTTTTGAAATGTCCAAGTTGTACCAATAATACTCGTTTAATATATAATAAAAATTATAACAATTATATCAATTGTTTATATGTTTAATTTTAGAAGTTGTACCAATATTTTCATAATAATATAGCTAATTTACTTAACAAACCTTAAATATAATATATATATATATAATGTAAAATTAAGAGTATAATGTAATAATTTAACAAAAAAATTAAAAACTTCAAATAAAATAGATGAAATTTTGTCATCATATACCAATTAGGATATATGTTTGTTCATTTCATATGTAAAACCTGATTATTAGTCGTTTCAATTATAATAGTTGCATATTGTACATGAATTATAACATTTATATATTAGTTATACTAGTTATATAACATGTTTAGTTATACGAGTTATACTAGTTATACCCCGTTTTCTCTTATCATCCGACGGCTCAGATTACATCTCGCATTATCTAATCTAATGGTTTACATTGAACTCTCATTAATGGTAAAATGGTCATTTTACACCCTTTGGTCCATGGTAGATTTTTTTTGGATGTTATAGATTAGTTTTGGGTGTTTTGTCCCATAATAGATTTTTGTCCCGTAATAACGGCTTGTAGTGCAACTCATCAATACAAAAAACGGCGTCTTTTATTTGGGCTTTTCATGGGCCTTGACAGGTTTACTTAACCCATTTCCTAGCGTGAGTTATGTTTTCTCTCTATTTCTTTGCATGGACCAAGGATAGTGAGAGGGTCAGAGCAAAGTAACATGAATGCAGAGGTAAGAGTTAAGGAACAGAACTGTAATATAATAGTGAAGTCCATTATAGCTCAAAGACAGAACTTGCAAGTAGTCGTAGCTGATTCATAGAGATCGATTTTGAAAAAGGAAGATCATTGCAAATGCTATAGATTGTAAAATAGCACAATGGCACAAGAAGCATATAGTATTTTCCTCCATCTTTGTAGAAACTGTAATCTTCATTATGTGATGGAAGGCAAACTATACATTACCATTGTACTATCAAAAAGCTGGTTTCTTTGATATTCAAAAGAAGTAACAACACACAGAACAAAGTGAAAAGCAAGCTCTCTCTAGATCAAACTTAAAGACTCCAAAGCTTCAATAAAGGTACAAACAATCTCTCGGGCTGTGTCTATTAACAACCCCCACCACCAGCAAGTTTCAACCAGCAACTTCCAAAAAAGAAATGCCACCAACACTCAAAAAATCTCTTAAGAGTCTCCCTTGCATCATCCTGTGATTACCTGTGTGTTTCAATAAGCATAGATTTTCACTCTCACTCATATAAACCTTTCTTTTCTTCTCCATGCTAGTTGTACAAAATTACAACAAATATTATCACAAAAAACAAAACAAAACAAAACAAAAAGCCAAAAGCTTTTCAAAATCCACAATAGAAAATCAAAATGTTTTCTTAAAAAAAGCTTAATTTAACGCCCTGAGCCTTGAGAATCATCTTTCTCACCACTCTCTTGCTGCTGCTCTTCATGTGTTGTTGGGTTATGCTGAAGAGTATGATGAAGAACCCTTCCCTGAGCTTGAGCCTGAGCCTGAGCTTGACCCATCTGCTGCTGATAAATCTGTGCAAAAGACTGTGGATTCAACACCCCAACATTCCCTTCCTGAGCCAACCCTAACTCAAGCCCAGGCATCTGACTATTACCACCAAGAATAGATGCAAAACTCATAGCTCCACCAGAATAATCAAACCCAGGAAACCCAATCCTATAACCACCTCCATCACTCATCATCATCCCACTACTCTGCACACCAGCTCCAAACCCAGCTACATTTGGCCACAACCCTGACCTAGAACCTCCTTCTCCTCCTCCACCACCAATTCCCCAATTCACCCTTCCACTACTAGACCCACCACCACCACCATCCAACTCATGACTGATCATCAAACCAGCAGTGAGAGAAGACCCACCACCATGGTGGTTAGACACAGCAGCAGCTGAGGCTAAAGCAGAGGCCGGTATAGTCCCTGAACCGGTGGCTGCAATAATCGACGGCTCAGCCTGTTGAAGCAGCCACTGGATAGTCTCACCATCAGATTTGTGACCCAATTCTCTAGTCAATTGAAAAATCCTAGCCGCGCAGAGAGCAGGCATCCTGATTCTCCGACCCCTGCCTTCCACTTTGATGTGTCTGTCTTTGTTAGAGCTTCTCTTAGGACCAAGCTGGTTCTGTTGCTTCTTAGTATTGTTGTCGGAAGCGACCACGATCTGAAAGTCCTTAACTTCAGCAGGTTTGGAAGGATGATTGTCTGCCTCATCTGCTATGGTCTGGTTTGTTGGTGGTGGGTTCAAAAAGTTTGGTACTTGGTGACGATTTGGGTTCTTGGGATCCATCTTTGTGTGGGGACTTTTGTGAGGGTCCAGAGAGACTACTCTTCTCTCTTTGGGATTCTTCAATTAAGGGTTTGAAGAATTGTTTGGTGACTTGATGAGAGAAAAGGTGAGAAAAAAATATATATTTTACAGTGTTTTTATGTTTTTTTTTATAATTCCAATGAGACCCCGTAAGATCCCGATGTAGAATTGGAGGAGAATAAAAGGAAAAGTTATCATCTTTCTTTCTTTCGATCTTCAAAAATGGGTCAAAAAAGAAATGAGAAAACATTAATAAAGTTGAAGACTTTAGTTTTGTCTTTTTCTTCTTTCTTTTTTTGGTTGGGTGTGGTTTGTTACATAGACATGATAACACAGGGATACTGATTTACTTAGGTTTCTCACCAAATACTGTCTTTTAAGACCATAACCAGACAAGTAAACCCATAAAGAAAAAGTTGTGACCGTTTCACATTTATAATCCTTTGATACAAATGTAATGAGAATCTGAGAAATGTCACTTCATGCCCACTCCAATGACTTTTGTCTAGTCCAGTATCGGTTAGCATTTATTAGTGAAAGAAAAGTTAATTTTAATGTTAACGTTCTTGTAACTGATAATCTAGTGATTTCTAGTGAATAGATATGGTATATGTCTCTCTTATAATCTTATTTAATACTCATAAAAGTCATATTATAATTAATTAAGAACCTCATTCAAGTTTCAAAGATCATGTTGATTTCTTTCTATGAAGTCAGTTGGATATGAAGATGTAGCATCTATGGTTTGTAGGTCATGTACTCATGGATCATTCTGGCAGATCTAATAGACTAATACTACACATTGTTGCTTAACCATAGGTCCATATGATTAACACACAACCAGTAAAACAGAGAGAAATAAAGTTTTAATTATGTTGAAAGAAATACAAATACAAATGAGTATATGTTGAAGAAAATAAAACACTTAATTGATAACAGATTTGCAAAAAAGAATGTTGCAGAATTATGTAGACATAGCTAAGATGTTACCACAAATCATAAAATATTACTTTTTATATACTAGAATACAAGATTACATGGTAAATACTAAAAATACATCTCCTTTTACCATAAACAAACAAAAAATGAAAAAGGAGAAACATTTACGTAGTAATATGTACCTTACCCAAACAGTAGTCAGAGTCAACGTCTTCTCAAAGAAGGAAGTATGTGGATCAATGGGATAGTCAGCAATTGGCAGGTCCACAGAGGGTTTGGTTCGCTTGTAGGGCAAGCCCTAAAGAGATTGAATGACTTTGAGGTTCCATCATTTATGGACCGACACCATCATTTACCTGCACCTCTCGTATCATCATTCATATAAGTCTTGGAGTTCAATTAATCTTAATTGAGTTAACTACTCTTTATGATTAAAGGCATGAATCTAATATTAATGGCGCTCATAATCACGTTTAATTCTCCACTGTACCTGCCAAATTATCTAATACTCTGATACATATATTAAATGGTATCTTGCCTAATCTTTAAGGAGTAATAATTATTTTTGACAATGTGTTATGTTTGAAGACTTTCTAATGACTGACTCTCCATCCCCAAGAATTTGTGTAAGTAATTTAGTCTAAAACTATATCTTACAATGCGTTACAAATTTTTTTATTTTTAAAGATTTTATCACATAGTATATCCATAATTTTCAGTATGACTGACTTATACACATGGACTTGACGGTTAATATTCAGACAAATATTTACACACTTAAAATGAAGACTTTGAGAGGTGGTAAATCTATCACTTTATTTAGAAAAAAAAATCTATCACTTTATAGTCGTTTATATTTATAAATAACTGATAACTAATATTCGGCATTCTTGGTGGACAGGTGGAGTAAAGTAAATATAGAATTTGAGTTGGTGCATGTGAAATTTTCGATTGAATTATGCTCCAAAAGCAAGAGACACACAAGGGCCCATATATGCCATCGCATTACCCTTTTTCCTTCAATTCTCGGTTGCTTTATCTTTTTTCCTAGATGCTTTTTAGTTTTCCCTCTAATTTCACCATACTATATAAACATTCTACAATTAATTTGAAGATGATCTAAGCAAAAAAAATAAACAGGAATCAGTCCACCTTCCACGACTGATCTTGAGACTTCATAGTAAGTATAATTTAGCTTTTAATCTATATACAAATCAATGTAATATAGCAGCTAGCTGTATGGTAACAAACTAAAACTATATGTCTATACACACAATTCCACTCTACAAACCATACGTACATCTCATTTTTTTGGTATAACCATCACTTGCTACACAGTACACATAATCATTTTCTTCATTTGTTTCTATATATGTGAACATGTTGAAGAAAAAACACTGGAGAAAATGGCTGTTAAATTCATATATAAATACATTTCTCATTTAATTTTTAATTCGAAACTGGTGCAACAGATATTGGTTAGTCTCAGTCAAGATAATTTTAATCCAATTTATTCAACCCGAGTCTCTATCCTTTGTTTATGTTTTACCTTTCCCCTTTATTTTCATGATATAACCATTTTCTTCCTCAATGATTTTAGTATTTGACATTACTCAATCTCAAGAGTTTGTGGCACAATTATCTCCACCAATTGTGCCCCAATTATGGTAGATTGAGATGGGGGTGCAGTTTCATCATTACAAGTTTACAGTTTCTTTATCATTTTTCCAGATTAATTGCCGACTCTTTTCGATGTATTAACTTGTTGAGAAAACAACATTAATTTTGTAAGAAAATTAAGCCAACCAATACCAGAATTTCACATCAACTATCATACATCTAATTATTACAAAACTGGGATTATCTTATTAACAAATCTTTTATTATAAGTACTTTACAATTTGGATCATTGTAAGTTGTTACATTTTGTTGCTTATGTTTATTCTAGAATATGATGGTGTTGTCAGCTAGAAAATCATATCAAATGTTCATATTAAAAATAGTTCCAAGAGTATGAAATACATTTATGTATTTTTGTTTTAAATTGTTTGAACAGTTTTCTTAATCCCATCGAGAGGAAAACAGTATTGTACATAAATGTTGTTATAAATATGATTGTCTAGTGTGTTTGTGTATGTATTCTGACTATTTTCATTTATGTGTCCCCAACATAATTTAACCATAGTACTTGTGTCAACAACCTACTATGTAAGATTTGAAGCCTTTTTCAGCTTGATTCTAAGTTTAAAACTTATCACTTCATTATATCTGATATTTGAATCAATACACTCATGAAAACTGACCAAAGGAAAAAGTCTCAGATCTGCTCTTTCCACTAAGGTTCATGCTCTTCTGACCTAAAACCGTCGTGGTCCTCTCAGATTCCGGCAACAATGTGTCTCCACTGATCTAGGGATCTCCATCCTCATGTTTAGCTACTCATTGTGGGAGATGCTACCATGATTTTGTTTGTTGGGCTCAAGTTTATTGCTGAGCCTGGTCAAGTTTATATAATAAAATGTATTATGTTATTTTCTTTTACCACACTAAACTTCATAACTATTTTGTTTGTTGGGCTCAAGTTTATTGTTGGACTAGGCCATGCTAGTAATATCACAAGCTCCAGCTCTTTTTTCTTCTTTTTATCCAAGTTATACAGTTCATGCGGTAGATTGAAATTGATAACAAATGGAATAATATAATATATTTCGACAAAAATATCATTTTTAAATGCCAAGATTGATATTTGTATCAGGATGAGTATTTTTCATACATCATTATATTGGATTGAAATTGTGTTGGACTTATTGGATTCGTTGAAAGTATAAAAGTTAAACAACAAAAATGTTCATGAAGTTTAACGTCTTATAGGACACTTAGTGATGGGAAGTGTTGGTGGCACCTACACTTTGCAAACCTACCACTACAAGAACTGTAGAAGAAGAAAGTACAAGATAAAAATGGGACCAAGAAAGGATCTGTTTAAGCACTTATTGATTAACAATTTCACTTGTCAGGTATTCGCATGTGCAATAATGCGATGATAACTAAGTGTACGGAACAAATCAATCCCATGTGTTTCAGAAAGACATATACAAGTAGAAGAAAGATTTTAAAAAGCTTACATTGAAATAGCTATTTCTTCTTTTGTTTACTACACACAACGTACAAGTGTGTAAAAGACACCTTATGTGTTTTACACCGTCCGTTTACACCACACTATTTTATCTTATTCAATTCAGGAACTGATAACGAAAATGAAAATGACCCCTTTCATCTCTTTTATTTTTCTTTACCTAAACTTGGAGGAAATTTTAATGCACGTTTACATTGTAATCAATTCATTGTGGTCTATTGGATTTTGAGAGATGACCATGGGATTAGCTTTCATCAGAATGTAGTTGTTCCACTCTGGTGTTTCACATGCTTAATTATCTAGATTCTGAAAATTAGTCTTATATACGGTTTTAACACAATATTCTAGTTTTTTTACGTCCATCTGGTTAATATATACTAGCATTAATCATTTCCCCCATAGATCCTCTGCGATATGTAAGAGCAACCCCATTGAAGGTTCATGGGGGGAGTTCACACGGAAATCAAGAAAAAAATAATAATAAAATAATAAAAATCTATGAACCCTTCTGTCCTAAAGTTCACCGCGGTGAATCCCTCTCTCCTGAGGTTCAACACGTGACAGTTCGGAATTGGTCTAGATTTTTTTTTTTGATTTTTTTTTTAAAAAAAAATCAAAAAGAAAATAGAAAATTTTTAATAATAAAAAAATAATTCAATGAACCCCAAGAGGGGGTTCATTGATGTGGATGCCCTAAATCCATTTATCATTGGGTTATATTTATCTTTTTGGGTCACATCTATCATTTTCCCTTAAAACTCCACACATAATTTCTAGCCATTTGCACCCAAAAGAAAAAGAAAAAAATCTAGCCAATGTCGGAGACGTGGCAGAGCCAGGACAAAAACCTGGTGGCACAAGTGGGACTCTCTCGAAGAACCAGAGAGTTCCATTGCTGGCACGCCTTTTACTTAAATGAAAGCATTCCCTTTAAAGATATATCACTTTCCATTTGGAGGAAAGAAGCATGCAAGAATGAACAATACACACTCTATGATAACTCAATTAGTTACGACTGTATCCTATCGTGTCATGTCATGTCATACGATTAACACGTGGTTGTTTGCGAGAGAAGTTCGCAACCATGTCCGAACAAAACAGAAGCGAAGTAGTGGCTGATGACTCTAGTCACTACCTCAGCCAGACGCTTCCGTATTAATAGCATCTTTTGGATCGAAAACAACATTTCATTACTTCTGTAACGTCCCATCTTACGTGCTTAATACATTTTTAGACGTTGCCCACGTAAGAAATTCACGATGAATGCAAATCACACGATCATTGTTATGGTCCTTATCGATACTCTTTTACACTTGTGTCGTTTATTAGATTCGCATCAACACATACGACATGAGAAGACGGACAATAACAACAAATTGATTAGATTCGTACCCGCCCAGTTATAAACGTGACATTATTTTATTAATAAAAGTATATCAACAAATTTAGTTTAATAAATATATATTTAATTTTACTAAATAAAAATATATTTTATTTTATTTTTAATTTAAATTTGTCCATCAGTTTGTTTTTATGATAAAATAGTTATTTTTGTTTAAGTTAAAATTGTTGGATTTACAAAATATAAGACACTAAATGTTATTCTGAGTTAACATTTATGGATATTTTTAATAAATTATTGAAATACTAAATGATAAAAATAGAAAATATTTACAACTTTTAGAAATATTAATCGGGATCACATGTATAAATAAATTATTACCATATATATGTTACTTTTATTGATAAGATAAAAATAAATACACTTACTTTATCCAATAACCATATATATAGACATAAATGTAAATCATCCTAAACCTATACACACCAAATATTCACAGTATATACTAAGCTCGATATGCAAGCATATATCAACGACCTATAAGGCTATATATATATATAGTTACAAAAAATATATATATATATATAGTTACAAAACCCTAAAGAAAACTTACAGAAAAACAAAAGAAGCAGGACGCGAAGACAAACATGGAGGTGTGTATACATATTCCATTTTCCAAGCCTAATAAAAATATTCTTCATCTTTTATGAGCTTTAATTGTACTTATTTAATCTCTTGCAGCTACTAAGTTGGATTCGGAATTTATGGATTCGGACTATAAAGCAAAACGGCTTAGACCAATCAAAGGAGTTCAAAGGTTTGGTTATCTAATATTAACCCTTTCAATCCTTCATCTTCATACAATGTTTTACATAATATGTTTTTTGGTTAAATTACATTATTATTATTTATTTTTTTGACATATTTCTACAGCATCTAAAAGTATTACATTGTTAGAATGAAGATCCTGAAGTATATGTTAAATTACATTATTTTTTAAACAACCAATCTTGTAGGTAATTTCTGTTGTTTAAGAGCTCAAGTTTCATCTGAAGTCGAAGACATCCGTACAAACTCCTTCGCTTTCAATGAACCATCTCATCACATGAAACTACCAGAAGCTGCTGAGGAGGAGGAAATCTGGTTGGATCATGAAGACGTGTTCGGTGGATTTCTAACGATCAGGACGCTTGATATAGATCCTGAAACACCAAGATTCACTTCAGTTGCAGAAGAAGATGTAACCGGAGCTCAAAAAGATATAGCAAAGCTCCTTAGCGAGAAGCTAGACAAGGTTCTTGAGGAATATGAAGATAGTAGGAGCAGTAAGTTGGTAGAGAGATCTAATGCAGGAGTAGTTGATGTATGTCCTTCACAAGGTTATGATCTTATTGAGTTTACAAAGAGAAGCAAAGAAGTAAGGAAGAAAAAGGCTTTACTTAAAAGCCTCTTCAAGAGAAGAAAGATAGTAGAAGGAGAGTGTAATACCTTGGAGAAACATGGCACAGAAGATTTGATTAAAAGTTTGTTCGAAAAGCTACACAAGTCTTCTTCAAAGACAAGAAAAGATGATTATATGCACAAGAAGAAAGACATCAGAAAGGTTCTGTCTCTTATTATTTTTTTTTAATTTTCAAGCATTTTCTAACTAAAAGTATTATAAAAGTTAATGTGGTTTTGTTTCTGGTTATAGAATGTTCAGATCTTTCGAAGGAAAGTCCATCCTGTTCTCTGTGCACCTGCAAGAGACGATAATGAGATGGATGACACCAACGGCTCTAATCTCAAGACCCAACCTCCGTTTTCAAGCTCTATCTTGGAAGCTAGCAGGAAAAGAGAAAAATGGATCAAGACTGACGCAGAATGTAAGTCAAGATCCTATACAAAAACATTGAAACCTATTCGATTTTTTATTTGTCTTTGAATTGTTTTTCATATCGTTTTTTTTTTTGCAGTTCTTGTTCTTGAACTGTGATGATCAACACACATTGCAGCAAAACCTCTATTGATGTTCCAAGCAAAAGTAGTCTCCTATCAAACTTATTGTAATCTATAAATTCACTATCTATTATTATTGTGTAGTGAAAAAGTTATGTAGTCTAGTTTAAGGCAATTAATAATAAAGCTTTTATATTACTCAAATTTAACTGTTCAAAGTAGCCACACGTGTTTAACTGCTCATAACTGTCACATCTCTGCTTCAAACGAATCACAAGAAACAGAGGTGCTGAACTTGATGCTTCTTACACCAGATTCATTAGTGTCACTGATCAAGAAAAGAAAAGGAAACCTGAACTAAATAAGAAAACTACAAGTAGACAGACACATATCTTGATATCATCTTTAGAGGTAGTAATCTACTACTTTATAGCATATATTATTTAACATGAAAAGCAAACACTACCAAAGAGCACTATTATAGTTTTGTTCCAAATGTATTACTGTCTGCAACAACAACTGATTATTTTGATCATTAATAAATTATTTCCGGGAAAAAAGAAGAAGCAAACACTACCAAAGAGCACTGAAACAATTGATTGAACAATCATCAACAAAGTTCACAAAAAAAAAAGCTAAAGCCAATATAGAAATACAAATACCTTTCCTTGTAACCTATCACTAATAAGCTTTAGTATCTTATAACCTCTTCTTCCTCCTCTACTTAGCCACCAAGAAATGCCAAAGAAAGACACCTCAATCACCCTTCTACATAACTCTCCACTCTACTTCCATCTTCATCAGCAAAAGAACAAACACCCTTTACACATACAATTCACAAAAACGTTAGAATATGAGCGCGGATTGGGGACCAGTGATTGTTGCTGTGTCTCTGTTCATCCTACTATCACCAGGACTACTGGTTCAGATTCCAGCGAGGACGAGAGTGGTTGAGTTCGGGAACATGAGCACGAGCGGTATCGCTATTTTGGTTCACGCAGTTATTTACTTTTGTATACTCACAATTTTAGTGATTGCTATACAAGTTCACATCCATTTCTGATCTCTCTCCTCTTATATATACTATCATGTAACTGTAAGTAACCAAAAAGAAGAGAGTTTTACTATAATCTCTAATGTAATGTACAAATCTCTCTTTTCTTTGGCTTCACCGTGCAGACAGAAAGTAAGCAACTTTTGTCGGAATTTGAGCGAATAAACAGAGTTAAAAGAGACAATAAAGTAAGAACCAAACTGAAGTAACGATACAATACAAGTACAACACAGCATTTTAACCAAATCTGTTTGTTTACAACATCAATAGGAACAAAAACTATAGATTTAAGGTAGATAAAACCCTAATTTACAGAGTTTCTAGATTCGTTTACATAAAGGGTACACCTTTTTTTTTTTGATCAAACTATAAAGTTTACACCTTTATTATTACATTCTTAAAACGAAAAACAGAGAGAGACCCAGATCTAGAATCATCAACCGGTGTAGATGTGGAGATTAACGGCGATGATCAAAATAGAGTAAATGGCGAAGAAGATGAGAGTGTGAACAGCTATGGCTTTTCCGTTGGTTTTGAGGTTACCGAAATCTACTCCTCTGTTATTTCCAGGAAGTGAGAAGAGAAGTCCGGGAGAGAGAAGCACGAAGAGGATGACGCCGACGAGAACCGGAGCCCAATCTGCCATTGTTTGCCGTGTAAAAAGTGATAAAAAGATTACACCTTTAGAGAGAGCGGTGGGTATGTGAAAATGACAGGAGGAGACGGTAGTATCTAGAGAAGACGAAAGTTATGGTGATTGGGATGTTTTTATTTTATTTGAATTTTAAAAAATAATCTCGTGGTCATGCACTTAATCTAATGAACTTAGGAGTGCGCGAAAGATACTAATCTCGATGATTAATTGTTAACTTTTATAAAAACCGAATAATGTTTTCGATTTGATCGGGTAGTGGACCGACCGACCTCAAAATTAATCAATACTTAAGTTAATTACGTTATTACCTCAACGGTCCTAATCTCCACTTCCTTTTTCTCAAAGCCCATTTTTTAGCAACCCTTTTTCTCAAAGCCATTTTCAACTAATCGTGCGTGGTTACTGCATGTATGCTTGTCTTAAATTACCCACTGGAAACCAGTAGTTCATAATGACTGTCCTAATTATTTAGTTAGGTACTATATCCAAATTAATCTCATTTTCGGCTGAGAAACTAATCTACAATCACACGAGTGCACTTGGGCCAAGCCAAAGAAATAGTGGTTTCCGGCCGATTTATTATAACATCAATTTCGGCCACAAAATTTTAAAAGATTTCTTTGGTCTAGTGGTAAATATTATCATGGTTAAGATTTTCTAGGATTAGCTCTGGAGTCATGTCCACTATTTTGTTAACCAAAACTTCTGAATGAGCAATGCATAAATCATGTTTAACTAGATCAAACCGAATCATTCAGTAGACTTCCAATTACAAAAACTAAACTGAAATACAAGATTGAAGTATGTAGTGTTATAATTTATAATCATATAACATTGTACATCTCAACATACACATAGATGTCTAGAGAAGTGGTAGTTAAAAGACCACGTTGTTTATAAAACGACTTTGTTTCTTATATCAAACAAAACAGTGAATTTCACACAATTCAGGTAACAAAGTACACACTACACACAATTCAAGTAAAATCAAATTTGAGACCAAAATTGAGAGAATTTTCTTTATATATTATAAGCTTAGGCTATGTACATGTGAACTTGGATAGCTAGCAAGAGAATACAAACAAGAGTGAAGTAGATGAGAGTATGAACTATAACCGAAACCCCACTTGTCTGAAATGTTCCAAACTCAACCACTCGATTTTTCCCCGGAATCTGAATCAGCACTCCCGGAGTTAGCAACACGAAAAGCGCCACCGCGACAAAAACTGGTCCCCAATCAGGCATTCTACTCTTTTAATATGTATCTATAGATCTTTGAGAGAGAGATAGTTTGAATGATGCATGCAAATGCATAAGTGTGCGTATTTATATGTGGGGAGAAATGTATAATGGGTTGATAATGGCAGGTGAGAATAGAAGATTAGGATTCTTTTTGTGACAGGGAAGAAAGTTTGCTTTTGGAGGAATGGACAAAATTTTGTGACATGGAAGGATTTAAAGAGAGAAAAAGATCCAATCAAGTTGTGCGATGATTCACGTTTCACTGGACTGTGATGTCACATGGGATTTGCTTTGGATCGAAGGAAAGAAAATATAAAGTCGTCGTCGGTTCACTTTATTTTATGGTTTACTATCAATTACTTTTAACTTCATATCACTAGAACAAGCGGGGCCAACATTGTGCAGACCAGCGTATATAAAAAAGGCTAATTGTTGACAGTGGGATTTGAACCCACGCCCTTTCGGACAGGAACCTTAATCCTGCGCCTTAGACCAACTCGGCCATATCAACTTGTTATTATTTATGGAATAAGCAAAAGTTTTATTCTAACAGGACTTGCTCATGTGCGTGGAAGGTAAAGACTTAGAGAAACTTTTAAGCTTGTTGGCTGTGAAAGAGAAGTGATTGGAAGTTGGAAGCCCTTTTGGGTAGTAATTTGATCTTCTCTAGGCCTAAAACTACATAAGACTGGCTCTATTACTCTATTAGTGCATGAGCCTCTCATACATTATTATAATGGTTCAACATGTTAAAAGTAAGCAAACAAGAAGCCAATGTCATTTGAATGAGTTTAAGGCCGGATATTTCTTTATGTTCGTTCTCATATAAATTTTATCTTCATACGCAGAGTTCACTTCCCAGGCACCTGATACCAAACCTTGGGTCTAGCTTTACCAGTAAACCTTAATTGAGAGACACGAGTGTGTTTCTAAGAAATCAATAATCATTAAAACCAAAAACAACTTCATCATCTCCAAGAATTTCTCTTCTTGAATTGTAGTTATTTACAGTATGTAATTAATGGAACTGTTGGTAGACTAGTGTTAGGTTCCAGTTTTCATTCTGAGAATTTTCAGTTTTGCAGTGTCAACATAAGCTTATGGATTTTTAGAAGAAATATTAACGTTCATTGAAGGAGTAAGTTTTATCTGAATTGAATCTTCAAGTGATACTTAATGGTTAGAACTTAGAAGAAAACTATAAACTGCAAATCAAGCAATAATCAAATATCTAATACTTTATCCAGCAATTAAAAACATTGACCAGTTTCTCCGCAACTTTGAACTGTTTATTAATTAAATTATTGTCATTATTATCAATATAATTGAAGCTTCGTTTGATCGATTATGAATGGTTTGCAAAGAAAAACACCCTAAAACATGGAGATTAAGCTCGGCAAAAGTAGTTAAAAGCTTATAATAATATTTCATTAATTAAAAACCCGATAATACACGGAATATTACAATGGTATAATCGCAAATAACAACATCCATAACACCAAATCTAAAAATCCTCATCGAGAGAGAACACATGATTATCAAACGCACCGCCACCACTAACGCTAGACATAACCGAAGCCTTCTGATAATCCCCAACCCTCTTCTCAAAGAAATTCGTCTTCCCCTGAAGCGAGATCAACTCCATCCAATCAAACGGATTCGCCACACCGTACACCTTCCCGTACCCAAGCGCCCCCAAAAGCCTATCCGCAACAAACTCAATATACTGACTCATCAAATCCTTGTTCATCCCCACCAACGCGCACGGCAGCGCGTCGCACACAAACTCCCTCTCGATCTCCACCGCGTCGCAGACGATCGACTTCACGCGCTCCTCCGTGAGCTTCGTCCTCAGCAACGTGTAGATCAAGCACGCGAAATCGCAGTGCAGGCCTTCGTCTCTCGAGATCAGCTCGTTGGAGAAAGTCAACCCCGGCATGAGCCCTCTCTTCTTGAGCCAGAAGATGGAGCAGAAGCTTCCGGAGAAGAAGATCCCTTCCACGCAGGCGAACGCCACGATCCTCTCCGCGAAAGTCTGAGATCCGTCGATCCACCTCAAGGCCCATTGGGCCTTCTTCGCGACGCAAGGGATGGTCTCGATCGCGCGGAAGAGGTGATCCCTCTCCTTGTTATCCTTAATGTAAGTGTCTAGCAGGAGACTGTACATCTCGGAGTGGATATTCTCGATCGCGATCTGGAAGCCGTAGAAGGCGCGCGCCTCGGAGACTTGGACGTCGGACATGAAGCGGGAGGCGAGATTCTCGAGGACGATTCCGTCGGAGGCGGCGAAGAAGGCGAGGACGTGTTTGATGAAGTGGCGCTCGCCGTCGTTGAGGTTGTTCTCCCAGTCGCGCGTGTCCTGCGAGAGGTCGACTTCTTCGGCGGTCCAGAAGGAGGCTTCGGCTTTCTTGTACATCTCCCAGATCTGAGGGTAGTGGATTGGGAACATGCAGAATCTGTCTGGGGTTGGGGTTAGGAGAGGCTCTTCTGCCATGGAAGGCATTTTTTTGGATGTGTATTGAGTTTTTAGAGGTTGTTGTTGGTGAAGATGTGATTTGATGGTTTTTCGGTGGTGTCTAGGGTTGGGTATTTATAATGGGGGAGGGGTGAGAGGGTTTCGAATGTTTTTGGAGAGGAGAGGGAAGAGGTGTGGAGGGAAGCGTTGAAACGTTTTGAAAATTTTATTCTTTTTCGAGAGGCTTGTTGGGGAAGATGAAGGGTATTATTGTAAATTTTGTGTGAGGGAATGTAATTTGAGCGAGGGAAAGAGTAGAGTTGGCGCCAACATTTGATGGAAACGACGTTTTGTGGTGAAATGACGCGAACGTCTGTGGCGCGCGTGTCTTGTTGTGAGGCACACGTGCCTTCACGTGATTTTTACGGTTAAAGGCCTAAAATGCTGTTCTTTTTAAAAGGCATAAACCAACACTGGGTTTTATTTGCTAGTAAAGCCCAACGTCACTACTGATTACCGTTTCAAATCAATTGTGACATTTCGAGTCACATGGCCAACCATCCATAAGAAACTAACATTTAAAAACCTACACGAAGGTTATGTTGTATATGACATGTGATAATTAACTAAAATTATGTGTGTGTGTGATATCAGAAAGACCACTAATCTTGTCGGAATAGTAAAATCAACAACCAAATTGGGTGACTAAAGTACAAAATCCGATCCGCTTACAAAATTAAAACACCATCATTTGCCCTAAAACCTATATCTCTCAATTCTCTCGACAAAAGGAATATTGGCAAAAGAAGACCATGACTAAAATCGATGACTTATACACGCAAAATCTTTAAGTATTAAGTATAGTAGATTTATGAACTAAATGGTGGTCGTTTAATGGCAATAACTTGATATGTATCCACATCACTCATGGATTCGATTTCTCTAGGAATTATCACTATTTTGTCGGTTTGAAGTTGGGTTTTAGCACAAGTAATTTACATGGTTAGTTGATCGATCCACCATTTGGTATTAGTCAAAAAGTATATCAAATTTGGGTAAGGCAGTATGGTATGCTTTCCGGCTACTCCACTTTATAACAATATGTATGTTCTTCTTGGAACCGACCGGATCAGCCGAAAGATTTAATTAATTTTTTTAAAAAATAAAAAATAAGAGAATGTGTGACGTGGTTTACCCGCCAAGATTTTCTCTTTGTAGAAAAATAAGAATTTAGGACACAGAATTTTCAGTTGGTAGCTGTATAAAGTACTTAATTCTCTTCTCCTTACAACATGTTAGTTATATTTCGGGAGTGGGACATCTTGTATCTCTTTGGGTATAAGAAAGGGACAATGAACATTGTGAATTCTTTGGATGGTTTGATGAAGAGGAGGTGAAAGGATGGTCAAAAGAGTGTTGATCGAAGTTAGAGATGAAATATGAAAAACAGAACTGAGAGAGAGAGTAAGTAATAATAAGTGTCATGTGCAGAGCTAGATATATAATTAAACATCTATTAAATATATATTAATATTAGATGATAACAAAATATATGTATATTATATTTTAATAATTTGATCAAATAGAATTGTAAAAGTACTTTTTTCTAGTCTAATTATGATTAATTTTTTCTAAAATTTCTCTATTAAAATCTTTGTATCTTTATATAGTATATAGTTTAATTTAAACAATGTTAAAACTGATATATTTTATGAGATTTTTATTCATATGGTTTATGATCATTTGTATCTTGTTATAATAAAAAAAAATGATTAAGTAGTCACAAAATTTTGAATGCAAGAATTTTGACAGTTTTAAAAATTATTTTTTAAAAATTTAAATAAATTATATAGAAAGAAATTTAAATGTTTATTATAGTGTTAATGTGATTGTATAATTTACTTTGATAATATAAAATTAAAGAAAATGATAATTTTTTTAAAAAATTCTAAAAGTATTTATTATTCAAAATCATCAATTATCATATATATATATTTTAGTTACATTAGGTAATTCCATAATTTTTATTTAAGTAAAAGTAAAAATATATCATTTTGTAGGTTATTAATTAAATTTAATAACTTAATAAAAATATAATATATATATATATATATATATATATTATATGAACCAGTTTTTCCAAAAAAACTTTAAAAGTTGTTGTAGTAATGACATAAGATATAACTCACATGTGGTAATAACTTTTAGTTAATATATAAGAGATGATACATATTTTTTTCTCAGCAAGTTGTTATTGGTATATGCTTTCTAGCATATTTATTCGTCTTTTGTCACTGTCAGCTTTCTCTGGACACGTGAATTTCGAATTTCAAATATATAATTAACAACAGATACTATTCATTCAGTTTTTTTAAATACCATATAATTCAGATTAATAATATCTCTTCCACCTCAGAACCACAGGAGTTCAGACCATAAAGTTTATAAACACTAGCCTAATAAAATATCAGTTGTTCAGAGAGGTTTTGGATATGTTGAACATTTTTTAAGTTTAAAATATCCTTGTAAAATGGGATATTTCCTCAACTAGTGACAAAAGAGATCTCATAAAAAACAATAAATAACATTTAGTTATGTTTGTAATTTTCAAAAATAATTGTCAACTGAATCGGACGGTCCAGAAGGAGCGAGCTTTCGTAGAAAGTAGGCCTGGGCGTTCGGGGCCCCCGTCGGATTCGGTTCGGTTGATTTCGGTTTTCGGATTTTCGGTACCATGTGCATAAGTCCCATTCGGGTTTTACTAATTATCGGGTCGGGTTCGGTTTGGTTCCTCTAAGTTCGGTTCGGGATCGGGTTATAACCAATGTATAAAATCGTTCAAAAATATTTTTTAAAATTTAAAAATTTGTTACAAAAAAATACTCAAAATATTCAAATTATTCACAAAACTAACTAAAAACAAGCCAAACTACATAAATTAGTTAAAAATTATTCAAAATAACAAATAAAATAAACTATTAAAAATTTAAAATATTCTAAAACATTTAAATTTCTTTAATATATATAAAAATAATAACATATTTCACTAATTTCGGATATAGTCGGATCCAAGTTTGGATTTCGGTTCGGTTCGGGTTATACCCATACTCCAAAGTACCAAGCTCTCAAGTCCCATTCGGATATTCTTATATAACGGTTCGGATCCGGTTTCGGTTTTTTCGGTTCGGATTTAGGTAGGGAGTTCGGTATGAGGTAAAAATGCCCAGGCCTAGTAGAAAGTTAGAAACATGGATTAAAAAAAAAAAACAGACTTGGGAGCTACTGAAGCGATGACGCGTGGCTAATAAGGAAATGGCAGAGCGTCGTAATTAGTGGAGAAAAGAAAGGGCTATTTGGGAGAGTAGGTCTGATAAATCTACAGATCCACACACCTTTCAGGGACCATTTCTTCGTTTTCTCACCTTCATCTGCTGCGACTTTAGAGGGAGCGAAGCTAAAGGTCTATTCTCTCTCTCTCTCTATCTCTCGATTTTTTATGCTCTGTATAATCCCTAAATCTAGTGTTGTTGTTAATCGTCATTTTTTTTTTCCGATTTTTGATGTTTATCGATTTAGATTCTCTTCCGAAATCTTTGTTAAAACAATCCAATTAGTTCCGAGCTTTGACTTTACGAGTCCAGCTATAGATGAATTTGTAGCAATTTTTGAAAGTTGACTCAACTTCGCGTGTTAATTGGAAAAATTAGGGTTTGAGATTTAGATTTCGATTTTGGTTATTTTACCTGTGAATTGATCGAAAAAGAGTGACTTTTTGTTTTCCAACTCAGCCCAATGTGTAATTCGTGAAGGAAACTATTGAATGAGTTTTAACAAAAAAAAAATCTCTGTGTTTTGTAGATTTTAGCAAACTATGGACAGCTTCTGGCAATTGGGTGATGAGCTGCGAGGTCAATCACGAGCCTCCGAGGATCACAAATGGTCTACTGTTGCAACCAAGCTCGCTGAGCAGACTAGGATGAAAGGAGAAAGGATGAACAACCTTGATCTCTCCAAACCTTACTCTGACTTCATGCCTACGGACAAGTTTAGTTTCCAGGACAACAACAACAACCTTAACTTCAACATGTTGAACTTGGATGGTAAATATGTGCAAGGCATGGGCAAAGCTCCGATGCAGAGCAATGTTTACAACAACGTGAATAATGTTTTCCAGAAGAATGACTTCAAGAGTGGAGGCAGCATGAAAGTTAACAAGTATAGTGGCAATGTTGTTGCTAACAAGGAGGTGAGTAACAACAAGCACAACGGTAATGATAATGGGAATATGAATTTGGGTGCTGACAAGAGGTTTAAGACTCTGCCTGCTTCGGAGATGCTTCCAAGGAATGAGGTTCTTGGCGGCTACATCTTTGTTTGCAATAATGATACCATGCAGGAGGACTTGAAACGTCACCTATTTGGTAGGTTTTTTTCAACATTCATATTTTTCTTTACAATATGTTTTCTCAGTGCATTTCATTTTAAAATTTTGTTTCGATTTGTTAGGTTTACCTCCACGGTACAGGGACTCTGTCCGGGCAATAACACCTGGATTGCCTCTGTTTCTTTACAATTACACCACTCACCAGCTCCATGGTATCTTTGAGGTTTGTTCTCGTGCTTCGTCTTCTTCTGATATCTTATATCATAACAATATCTTTGACGCTACCGTTCATTGAAGTTTTTTTTTTTATCAACTAGCGTTCAATGAAGTTTTATTATCCTTTTATTCCTTGATATTATTCCTGGTTTAGGCAACAACTTTTGGAGGTACTAATATTGACGCAACTGCTTGGGAAGACAAAAAGTGCAAAGGAGAGTCAAGATTTCCGGCTCAGGTGAAATTCACAATTGCAATAGTTACTTCCTTTAGTCTTTATTTTGTTATACTGTAACCAATTCGACTTCTTTCTCTCAAATGTAACAACAGGTAAGGATCAGAGTGAAGAAAATCTGCAAAGCCTTGGAAGAGGATTCCTTCAGGCCTGTTCTTCACCACTATGATGGTCCAAAATTCCGCCTTGAGCTCTCTGTTCCTGAGGTGCGTATTCGTGGATCTAGAGTTTGGTTCTAAGTAGAAAACATTTGCATATAGAGTCCCTTAATTTTATGAAGCTGTAGATAGAGAAGGACCTGTGACTGTGTGCTGATAATATATTTACATTATGATGTTTTGTTGCAGACATTGGATCTGCTAGATCTCTGCGAACAAGCTGGTTCTGCATGAGCCGATCAGCGTTGCAATACCACGTTGCTAAGCGAAGCGATCTGAAACCTATCTATATATTATGCATATTACTATAAGAGCGTAAGCTTTTGGGAGTTAGCTAAGAGTGGAATTCAAATGTAAGATGGTTTACTAAGAAGTGAGGAGTTGTGTGCGTCTTGAGGCAAGCAAAAGGGTGAAGAGGCTCTGCCGAATAAGCGACTACCCTTATTCTTGTTGTGTCTAATGTGTGAGTTTGTCTGTGTTTGTGAGAGATATTGAAACAAACGATTTATGTAGAGAGGAATTGAGATATTAACAGCAGAGCGAAACCAATGATATGAGCTACTGTTTGTGTTTGCTTTGTGTAAGGGAAAAACAAATGTTTCTAAATGGCAAGTTTAACTTTTTAAGCACAAGTTATCATCATATACTGATTTAAACCAGGTTAGGTCTGCAGGGATAAAGCAGATCTGGTACAATATGGTATTTTTAGAAGAGAAAACAAAGTACAGTTCCCTGAGCTAATTCTACAACAGCAGAGATGATTCGTAAAATCTATAATTCTTCTCTGACAAAAAATTCATCAAGGAGCAGCTACTGATCCAATGAAGTTTTGAATTCTGTTCAGCAGCTCTTGCTTCACATCATCTGGTACTGAAGCTGCACGTATACAAAAAAGATCCATTGAAACAAACACAAGTCGAACTTTTTATTGAGGTTTTCTCTGATCCGGTTTTATCTCACCTCTGCCTTTGGGAGTGATCACTCGTATTAGTTCATCGACTGTAACATCTTTTCTCCCTTTCTTCTTTACATGCTCCCTGCACTCGAAAAAGACTACCAACTTTAAAGACTGATGATCTACATTGAAAAGTTTTCTTTCAAACGATCAGTAATGATATTAAGAGCACCTGCAAGCGATTCTCATCTCATCTTTCCAACCAGACTCGACCAATCTATCTCTCACGAGCTCCATCAGATTCTCTTTCTCTCCACTCTCCACCAACTACACACAATCAACTTCTTCCATCATAAACTCCAAATTAAAAAAAAAAAAAGAGACTTCTTTCGTATCAAATAAACCTTGACGTTGATGATTTCTCGAAGCGTGAGCTCTTCCTTCTCAGAACCGTCCGCCACGTCTTCATCAGGCGACGGAGGACGATTCACCGAGTGTTTCCTGCTCAGCAAACAAACCACTCACTACCAAAAACAAAGGAGAAACCGAGAGAAGTAGATTGATGATTCAAATAGGATGATTAACGATTAGAATGCAGCTAATACGTACATGTGTTTAAATCGATCGATCAATTACGATGGAGAAAGTTTCAAGAATCTCCAGCAAACGAACCCCAAACTGTATTCCCAAGAAGAACAAAGCAGACGACTATAAAAGCACACTGCGCGCCAGTTGGTATGAACTACGTGCTGTTTGTATAATGGGCTTTATCAAACAGATCTAAATCTAAAAGCCCATTTAAAGGGCCCAGTAATGAAATGAGTCATATAATAAACGACGCCGGATAGGAAGGAAAATAACGGTCAACAAGAAAAGGAAGGCGCGACAAATGCTAACCATTAAAGTACGGCTGTGGTAGGCAAACAGTGTTCGTCTCCGAAACGAAACCGCACAGAGACCAAAAAACTAATTATTTCTTTTATTTATTTATCCTCTCTTCCACAAATTAAAAGCGGCGTACAATAGCAAACCTACAGCTAACCTACGCACCTCCGTCGCTTCTTCCACTCTCATGGCTCTCTCAGTCTCAGCTCCGATCTTGTCCCTCTCTTTCCATCAGAGCGGCGAACAAACTATTCTTTTTGGTTACAGACAACAGAAGAGATTAAGTTCTGGTCGTCGTTCACGGAGCTCCATCGGTTTCGGCGCGGAGAAGGCGCGGAAGTCGAGGGTTAGGAGGTTTCCGATTTGCAGAGCCGTGCCTCCTCTCCTGTTCAAAGATCTCGACGCCGATGATTTTCGACATCCTTTGGATAAACAGGTTCCTTTAGAACTCTCCTGCATAATTGTCAATGTTCGAAAAATTGTTAGGCGGTAATTAGAGACGAATATGTTACTTTACTGAACTTGGTTAGTTTAATTTAAGCTGATTTGAATTAAATTTAGACCAATTTGGATCGATTTAAAATCATTTAAACCGAATTTAGTTGTATAAATCAGGATTTTTTTAAAAAAATTCGTGGTTACTGTGAGTAATTTCTTGGCTATGATTGTAATTGCAAAGCTTTGATTCGATGTTTTTGAATTTAACTACAGAACACGTTGTTACTAAGAGCTATTCCGGGGTTAAACGAGTTCGGGAAAGCTCTATTAGGATCAATGACTGAACAGATCATGCTTCTTGAGAACATTGGTACTTCTGTTCTTGTCTCCAAGAATCAGGTTATAGCTCTTTAGACTCTTTTTTTTTGTCTCTGCCAACAACAATGAGACATGATGGCTTTTGTATTTGTTACTGTCTCAGCTTTCTGATCTTCACGGTTTGTTGGTTGAGGCTTCTGAGATTTTGAACATAGAGGCTCCTGATCTCTATGTTCGACAGAGTCCTGTTCCTAATGCTTATACACTTGCGATAAGTGGTAAAAAGCCTTTCATTGTCGTTCATACCAGCCTCATCGAGTTACTGACTCGCCAGGAGCTTCAGGTTCATACTCTCCATTACAAGTTCCATGCTTTTTGAACCTAACCGTGGATACTAATATTGGTCCATCAGGACTTTGGTGTCACATATCAGTTAACTGTACAAAAAAAAATCTGACTGTTTTATGTGAAAACTAGGCTGTCTTGGCTCATGAGCTAGGTCATCTGAAGTGTGATCACGGTGTGTGGCTCACATTTGCAAATATTCTTACTCTTGGGGCTTATACAGTTCCTGGTAGGGTGCTTCACTCTGTTGCTAATGTCTTTTTTATTGCAGACCACATTGTTGCTAAGTTGAATGATGTTGTTTGTAGCTTTGGGGCAAATGATAGCTAGAACCTTGGAAGAACAGATGCTTCGTTGGCTACGTTCAGCAGAGCTCACTTGTGACCGTGCAGCACTTCTCGTGGCCCAAGATCCAAAGGTACCAGTTCTGAAATCATTATAGAACCGTTTAAACCAGAATGTTTCAAGTTTGACGAAAAATACCTAGTGATGTTTCTCTTCTTCTTATAATGTGGCTTCCAAGAGGTTGTTGTATCCGTTCTAATGAAGTTAGCTGGAGGATGTCCATCAATGGCTGATCAGCTAAATGTTGATGCGTTTTTAGAACAAGCCCGTTCTTATGACAAAGCTTCTTCATCCCCCTTGGGCTGGTACATAAGGTAATTGTTTTTCTTACTTATGGTTAATTCTTGTTTGTTTACATAGCTCCCTTTTTTTACAGAAATGCTCAGACGAGTCAATTATCACATCCATTACCGGTTCTTCGTGCACGTGAGATTGATGAATGGTCAAGGAGTCTTGAGTACAGGAGTCTCCTGAAACGGGCTAATCGAACGGTGCAGAATGTTTAGTGGTGCTGTAAAATGTTCAGAAAGGGAAAAAAATAGGTCAAACATGTATAGGTAAGTTAAATAGAAATGTTTTAAAATTTAAAGAACACTTCTATACAAATTGTTGTTTTTGCTTATTGTGGGTCGTTCAAGGTTTCTCTTTAATTCTTTGACAGGGACAATACAGAAGGGGGAAAGAAAAAAAGAGACTGGATTCTTTAAGTCTAAACAGGTACTGTAAGAACTCTTGTATTTGTATTGTATATCTTTATAATTTTGATATAGATAACGCAAATGTATATTCGAGACAAACAAAAGGATCAGTGATAGTATGAATGATAAGATTGTATAACTCACCAGTCTCAGTCTTAAAAGGCTTAAACTAGCAAACTGATTGTTCCACTTGTCGTAGAGTCCAAGTTCGTTCTGAGAAACCGAAGGCCTTACTTCTTGCAATGTGTCTTTAAAGTCATGTACCATGATCAAACTTATGAAACAGTTACAGAAACATATACTATTTCTTTTAACTACATCCATCGACCAGGACTTTACTCACTCGTCTTGCAGTGTAAATGTGTAATAGCCTACATAGAAAACTACGTGTAGTTGTCTTTGACCATTAGAATTGGCCATGAGAACTTTTCCTGGGCCATAATAAGAACTCTTGGCTAATGTAAGATTACTCTGTTTAAACAAGCTTGTTATTTTGTTTCACACAGATGCATAAAGCTTATATTACACAAAATAAAGAAACACAGGCGTTTACTGAAACACACAAGACGCAAAAGGCCGAACAAGAAACATAATCCACACAAGACACAACAGTGATTAAGTTTCAGCGTCTGGTGATGCTACAACTTACATTATTCAAAACACACATAAAACCAAAAGAAAGTTACCACTTTGCTTTGGAGAAGACCCTTTAAGCAATCATCACAGAACAATTCAAGATAAAATGGCTGAGCTGAACATCACAGCAGCGTTTAGTCTCCTCCCAAACCAGCTCCTCCTCAGGGTCACCCGACGGGCGACACGTGTAAACCGACATTGTCTCGGTCCTAGACGGTCCCACCGATTCTCCAATCACAAGAAGCTTGTCTCCAAGCGACTTAAACGCAACGCCCCATCCTCCATTAGGCTTAGCTCTCACAGGCACATCCCCAAGCTTCTTCCAAACGTTTGCGTTTGTATCGTAAACGCGGAGCTCGTTCGCAGACGTTTCCAACGAGTAAAGTTTTTCATTCACCACCGCGATGAGCGGTGGAGACTGAACAGAAGAGAAAGACACGTCTTTAAGAATATCCGGTATCAACTCCCAACTGTCTGTACCCTCATCATAACGTTCTCCGCAAGTTAGGTTATTATCTTTCTCATCCCTACCTCCAAGAACATAAAACTTGCCACGCAAGAAACACCCCGAACAAAACTGCCTCCTCTTATGCATCCCACGGAGACGCGTCCACGTTTTCGTCCCCGAGTCATACTTCTCAGCTCCATTCACAACTTCCTTATTAGACGTGTCTCCATACACTTTCAACCCTCCAGCTACAAAAGCAACACTTCCACACGTGGCCGAAGCGAACAAGATCCTCGGCGTGATCATCGCAGGTCCCTTGAACCACTTGCTAGTCTCAACCTCGTATCTCCACAAAGCGATGCTCTTTCCTTCATTCCCCGTGACAATCAAATGCGTTCCCGCGCAAAGCGATTCTATATCTCCAAGTAAGAAGCTCACATCAGAAGGACAAAGTTCCGGAACCATCTGGTGATTCTCAAAGTCTTTATCGAACATAGTCCAGCTCTTGTCGCCGTTAGAACGCATAAAGACAAACGGTTCAACCACACCACGGTCACGCCTCACCTTGAAAATCTTACCTTCCTTTAATAAACGTGAAAAACGTTTATTTAGGAATTTGAGTTTCCAATACTCGAAACGCGGGAGGCGTGCGAGTATCTCGACCTCTAGCTCGTAAGGAAGCTGAGGAGTTTTTTGTAAATAATCTGCATCCTGGGGTTTGAATCCTACTACCACCACCTCTCTTGTTTCTTCTTCATCCGTATCTAAACAAGGATCCGCGTTTAGATCCGGAATCTTGTACTCACGGATCCGAACTTTCCTTGGCCTAGACCTGCTCGAGCTTGCCCGAATAAGACCGGTTTGGTCTTGTCCTAACGTCGGCATTTCTTGGTAATGATTCTGCCCTTCTGCTACCATGTACGCCTTTGACATTCCCTCTCTGTAAATTTTCAACAAAAAGATAAAATGAATCAAATAGTGTAAAATATAATAGAAACAATCAGATAGAGAATCAATTATAAAAGTTGTACCAGGTTTTAATCTTTTTGTATGATTTTATAGTTGAATTAAAAGAGAGAAAACAGTAGAAAACATTCTAATCTTGGACTAATCGGATCTAGCAAATCTTGATTTGTAAGTAACTGAAACACTGCTGGTTATATTACATAACACGAGTTCTAAGAAGAAACTAAACAGATTTGATTAAAATCAAAGACAGTGAAGTGGAGAATGAAAAACTAGTCAACGGTCTACAAGAGAAAACAAGAAGAGAGTGTGTTCATCTGTATAGTAATATACGTGCAGAAAACTAGGTCAAAAGTCAAAGAGGAGAAATCAAGAAAACTTACAGGGGAAAGACAAACCCTAGAAAAATATGATAGTAAGCTCTCTTCTGTTTCCTTCTACTACTACTTCTTGTTGAACTTCTTCATCTGTAAATAAGAAAACTATAAACGAAAAATACAAATGAGATGACGATGGACTGAATATACTATAAAAAGAAATTTTATGAAAAGTTAAAATGTATAATAGTCTGAACCTTTTGCAAAGAGGAAGGTAACCCACCCTCAGGGAAAATCAAGCTTAATTTAGAATATGCCAGAAGAAAATTCTATTTTCTTTTAATATAATTAGAGTAATAAAGGCAGTAGCTTATTGTTTATTTTTTCTGCAATGAGCGGGCAACGACAAAAACATACACGATTCATATTCAAGAAATCGCCGGTAAAAACTCGAAAAAGGCAAAAAGCTATGCTTATATTATTATATATCGTGGAGTGTGTTTGTGTGTTATGACTGTATGCGAAAGAGTGAGAATATGCTTAGAGAAAAAGGAAAGAAAATGGATTTTCAAATCCAAGAAGAAGATAAGACAAAATTATTTAAAGTTCATCTTGCAAATTAAAGCTTTCTTAAATCAGTAAATGGCAGAAAGGAAGCTTTAATATCATGAAAACATATAAAATTAGTGGGCATATCTACTGGAATATTCCACACTAGTAGTATACTTTCCTGCCTCAAGTTGCAATCTATTCATATTTACGTCGTTTGCGTTTATATACTAATATATGTTTGTATATCTATATATCATTAGTCATTTTACGTTAAGTATATCGTGAGATTTCATAAAATATCAGCTATTTTGTGTGTTTATATGCAAGTAAAAATATCATCAACATTCATCTAATCTAATGTAAGTTTTCTGACCATATTCCATGAAATAGATGCATATGTTGAATAAATTTTTTAATGTATTTTAAGCCTTTTTTAACCCACGCACTAAAAGTAAAAGTAAAACTTCTTGATTAGTTATTGTTCACTGGAAAAAAAGAGTTTACAAAATTAGTGTGGACATTTAGCTCAATGACTTTTTACTAATACCACCATGATCACCGCCGTATTATCCTTTGGGCTGAAGCAAAGGTATGTTACTACAAAAAATAAGTCACTAATAACATTTTTTGGTTTCGACACTTACCATTAAATAACATTTACCTAATCAATACATTAATCCAGGTGTCACGTCTTATGTGTTGGCTCTCTCCACTATTTTAAGTGGAGAGGGTTTAGCCTAATCCGTCTCAAGCTTCTGTTACTATTTTATACACATGGTATCAAACAAAAACAATCAATGAATCTCCCTAGCTCCCTTCTACCTTTTGATATGTTTCGTATTGGTTCAATAACTACAATCCAACTGAACTATAAGAAACTGTAGTTGACAAAAAAAAAATAGAAAAACTGTATACGAAATCATGTTATAATAAACTGTATCCCGCCTTGGCGGTCACCGGCCTTTCACATCTCGCCCACGGGTACCTCGTATTAGGCTACTGTCCCGCAGGTTACACATCCTAGACTCTAGACGCCCACCATTTCTCGGTGGTCCAAACATGACTTCAAACAAGTTCATTGACACGACTCCGTTCTTATTCATGTTCTCATTCACTTCCATATCCTCTTCCTCATTCTCATTCACATTCACTTTACTCATTCAATTTACTCATTCACTTTCCTTTTCACGTTCCCTTTCACTTTAACTTTCACTTCAACTCATTCATTGACACTTAGACTCTTTCTTTCATTCTAGACGCCACCCATTCTCGGTGTCTCACGCAATACACTTCACATAGCATCAATATCAATGGCATCACATTATCATACATACATCTATCTCATATCTCATGTACATCTATCACCTTAGTTATCAATTGATATACTTTACATTCATGAGTTATTATATCATTCACTTTACTCTAACAACTTAGTTTCCATTCACAGGCAATATATGGGACATCAACCAATCACACAAACATTCATAACAATCATTATCCACATCAGCACAAGGCAGTCCATTAAGTCTCATTTAATAGTGCGAGGGTTCTTATGCATCATGATTCAATCATCTACCAACCTAACTCCCATTATGATCTTCTAACTTTCAAACAAGAGCTAACCAAACCCTAGTTCCACCATCAGCTAGAATAGAGAATAGGAGAACAAATCTAGATCGAATCACCTCACCTTAGCAATAGATCTAATATCTAGATCTAGAAAATGGGATCTGGATCTGGAAAAACAAGATTTGGATCTGTGGTTGTCCAAAACTCAGATCTGCAATCTCACGGCCACCACCACCACATGCGAAGGTCACCACCACACGGATGCGCCACCACGGCCACACACGGCTGCACGGAGAGGAGAGAGAGGAGGCGCGCAAAGAGAGAGAGGGGAAAGAGAAAGAGGCGCTTAACAAAGAAAAGAAAGGTGGCTAGGGTTTTCGTGCCTCCCGGGATTTCTTTGCAGAGCTTCACTTCCCGTTTTCTGAAATGCGGCAAAAGAAGGAAGAGGCAGCTCTTTTTATAGGGAATGCAAGAAAACCTTAGGTCTTTTGTCCTAATGGGCCGTAGATAGGCCCATCTACCTTAAGAAATTTTTGGGCCAAGTCATGGGTTGTAACAAAAGAGACCCTTCTGTGACCAAGATGCTATTAATTCAAAATTTAAACATTATGTATGAGATAGTGTAATCACCTCATTACCGCCTATATAATGCACAACCATCAATAACTTTTTAGTTAGAACTAGATAGCTAAGTTGACCTGACCGTATGTATAAAACTCAAGTCTTTAAATATGGGTTAGGTACATTTTATAAATTATAACTACTTCGCTAACCAATCAAAGTTAGGAAAGCTATGCAAAGAACCCTGAAAAGATATATAGGGAGATCTCTGGATATATCAAGATGTATAAGAAGACAATCTCTCTAAAGAGTTCCCTCAAGAATCAATGCAAACACACAACTCATACAACATTAAAACTGAGACAAGGTCAAAAGGGATGGATCTAGATAGTTCAACATAACTGAGGTTGTCATACAACAAACAAATTGAACGTGTATAGATCTGAGAATTTGACACACACAATTAACGAACATCAAAAAGTCTCATATATTATTAGAATAGTAAAATAGGGTTAGGATTTCAAACATGGGTCTAGCTAATACCGACTAAAATACATGAAAAATACAAGTAAAGTATACAAAGAAGTACAGAATATAGTAATAAATATACAAGTACTGGCAGAATAGCATAAGCAATTTCTACAATTTAAATTTTGAATGATTACGTGATTAAGCCGTCTGATTATTTTCAGAATTTAGTGAACTCACTGCATAAAAGTTTAATTAAAGATTGAGTGGTGAACGTTAGCCGTAGAAAAGAAAAATAAATATGTATTAGACTACCACTGGACACACGAATGCTTTAACTATATTTGAAATAGATGGTCCTTCTGATGTTTAGATAACTGTATAGCTCATACATACAAATACAAATGTCTTTTTTTCCAATAAAAAATTGTCTTTGTTCAACTATCTTTTCTAAGACGACAGCCTAATCTTGTAGATCTGAACGATATAGAATTGTGGTCCTATATATCCCAAATAGAGAACGACGATCAATGGACAACTGTACTACATATTATATTACATAAACATGATTTTCTGAATCATTATACATACACAATATAATATGAAAATATGAATGATAACAATAAGAAGTCGCCATCATCATATAACTAATTCTGAAAGTTAGTCCACTAGAGAAATTAAACGTTTTAAAGTATGGTATCACCAAACACGAATGCCATAATTATAAGTCGTTCTCGTTGCAGGTGCGCCAACAAATTGTGTTGATTCTAATGACATTTGATGTTGGTAGACGTTAATCAGTTCAAATGAGGTATTAGTCGGATGGGAATTTGTCGAATACGTAAGGTTCATCAAGCATGTCTACGAAGAGAAAACTATAAGGTGAATTACTAAGCATCGTTTGTTCTAACGTTACAATGAAACATCTTTTAAAACCTATAAGATTTCTTTTACACTTTAAACAACTAAAGAATTATATGATTTTTAAACTGAGCGGAGTTCAATTCGGACACTCAAACGAGGAGGTTTTGCTATGGTCTTTTTCCAATAATTTATTTAAAAAGATATATTGATTACGAATGTCCACATTTATATCATACACTAAGAAAAACTTATACATACTTTTATGTAAAGATGCATGTGAGATCGACAACTGCCCGATTGGCCAATCTTAAGGCTTCTTTCGTTGCATCAAATCTTGGTTTTTAATTCATGTACACTTTCGATTATATTAAGCAACCAAAGTACCTTTATCTCACCCTTAATATAAATATTATTTTCAAAGAATACAATTCCCTCTTGATTTAATAAAGATGAATTCACGTAAACAGTCACCACCATTATCGCTTCCCATCGGAAATATTTTATTCGAGATAGGGCAGACATTGAAATATTTGAAACTCTTTAATTAAATAAGCCTCTAACTATAAACAAATAATCAACTGAGTCAGAATAATGAAGTAAAAAAACATCCAGTAATGGACCTGCTGAGATATCCCATTTACTGCACCCGGCTCGAATACCCAAACCCGTATGCGAAACCGGGTCTTTTAAACCCTTCATTAGCTCTGCTTGTTTTATAACCGCCACATCTAGCGGTAGCGGCCAAAAATTCAACCTTTTATCACGGCAATACAGCCAAAAATTTAACCTTTTATCACGGCAATAAAAACCACCAGTGAGATATCACTGACCTATTTCTCAGACATAGCAGCAACTAACAATGAGAAAATGAACACTGGAATTATCAGCGACACAAGCGTCTCGTTTTTTGTGTCTCCGGCAATCAAGTACATTTTTTTGTCGCTGCGGCTAAACTCCGCGTTTATGAAACGAACAGAGCTATTATTAGGTTTCCAAGGATTGAGATGGAAGATATATGACCCTTTCTCATCTTCTTTCGCGACATGCTATTATGCCAAAATAATGAACTAAACCAAAGTATTTAAAACCAAATAAAATATAAGTATTTAGAAGAAAAAAAAAATTAATTAGTAATCAAAATAAATTGAATCAAAAAGCGGTATAAAATCATGATTAATAGCGTTATCAATCCTAAGACACAAAAAGATATCTAATTACTTATCATGTTTACTTGCAAGGAAAAATAAGAAGTGTGAGT